CTATATGTTTTGGGTACTACAAGTTGACTGTGCTCTGTATACTTGTCACTTGCCCATCTGTAAAGCAACTTACCTTTCATGAAGAATTCTTTCTTCAAAGGAGGATTGTGACTTGCAGTTAACTTTTTAAAACATGCCTTAAGGGTTGGGTCACTACTTTGGGCCACCTTAATTTCCTCAGGAAGAGGATTTACATGAGGAGAATCCTCTAAAGCACTTTTATGTTGTGCTCGGGTGGTCACCGCAGCAAGATGCTCTGAAGGTTTCTTCGGCTCTGCTAAAAATACATAAGTAGCGCCAAGAATTAAATCAAAGGTACAGTGTTCGAGCACTGCAGCCTCAATTACCCCCCCGAGACATACTTTGAACGGACCTTAATCTTAGCAATAGGCAAGTTTAAAGGTTTAGCATCCAATGTGGCACATTGGAGCTCTATGAATCTGCCAGTATACTGATCAGGTTTTACAAACTCTGGCCTCACCACACAGCCGTATGACAAACCACTATCATACAGACAATTTAGAGAATATCCATTAGCCCAAACCCTCTCTACCACAGGAGGCCTATTGGAACCATTGTACAATTGTTCCTGGGTAGAAGGTAGAAGGTACTACAGTAGACAACAAAGCTGATACTTGTAAATTCCCTGACTGTTTGGATTTACATTCCTTAGTCCAGTGGTTATTATTCTTACAAATATGGCAGTAAGGCTTTTTAGGGCCATTAAAGGGTTGTCTATGTTGTGTTCCCTGAACTTTTGAGGGGTTCTGGGGTTGTGCTTGGGATGAATTCTTTTTAGGGGATTCATTTGGATGGGTTTTATGACCATTACCATTATTTTTCCCTTGGCCCTGGGCCTTGGGTTTCCCACCTATACCCACTTCTTTATGTGCCATCTCATACCTCTCAGCATACATCAACATCTCACTCAGTCTGTCAGCACCATTCTCCGTCAGGAAGGTTTGCATAGGTCGAGGTAATGTCTCTCGGAGTTGTTCCGTTAGGATCATCTCCTGTAAATCTTCAAAAGAAGAGGAGTATCCAGACATTTCCCTCCACCTTGTCAAATATCCCTGAAGGCGACTGGCGAACTGAGGATAGTTCTCCCCTGTCATCTTTCTCTCATTTCTGAACTTCTGTCTGTATGTCGCAGCATTAAGTTCGAAACGTTTCAGTAAAGCCTGACACAATGCATCATAATCAGTCTCAGTACCGGTGGGCATCCGTTGATAAATCTCGTATGCCTCACCCCTCAAACCTTGAGCCAACTTCAGCGTGTACATATTCCTTTCCAAGTTGTACAAAGATGCCAATTTGCCAAATCGGTCTAGGTACTGTTCAATATTTTCAGCCTTCGGGTCGAAGACTGGCATAGGAAAGTTCATCGCTTGAGCTGAGCTACTGTGCGTTGATGCACCATCAATATCAGGTGTTGGAGATCTGGGTCTATTACCCTCTCTCTGAGCCTGAAGTTCCAATTCTCTTAACCTCACCTCCTGTTCCAACTTCATTCTTTCTGACTCCTCTCAGATCTCATTCTTTCTGACTCTCTCAGTTTCAATTCGGAATCCTCTCAGATTCAATTCTGAGTCGTTCGGTTTCTTGCACCCTCTCAGATTCTATTCGGAGTCTTTCGCTTTCCTTCTCTGCCTCAATTCTGAGTCTCTCAGCCTCACGGGCTTCCATCCTCATCTCACGTTCCGTGGTTTTAATCCACTCGGTCATTTCTTTACCCTCCAATCCCATCTGGACAGCCATGTCCTTCAATTCCTGTATGGAAATTTTTGACTGCGACATGCTGTCTTGTCAATCTAACAGTCCACAACAAAATATATTGTCACCAACAATGTAAATATAATCAACAATAGATTAAATTATTACCACCAACCAAGGATGTACCTAACCCAATGTACTTGAACACCACAAAACACCACAATGATTACAAATCACTCCTAGGAGTATACTCTAAGAACTGACCCAGAATGGTCACAACTGTGTTAACAAAAAACAAACACTGAACAACTCCTGGCCAAGATCACCAGCAAATTTAAAGATTGAACAGTGTACAAAACAATCCCACGACGAGACCACAGATTTTTGGGGATATGTTGTTCTGTCACATATCACTCCTGTCGCGTGCCTAATGTAAGGATTTCTCCTTCAGAACCAGCAGCACTCAGAGATAATTTTGTTGAGTCGTTTGGCTCGTATTGGTCTAAGGGATTCCCCGTGGCCAATATACGATCAACTTATCTCTGGAGTAGGGCAACTCAAGTATTGGCACTACAAAATATGTCAATATATATATATATATATATTTCTAGGCACACTTGGCTGGACACCCCCACTACTTACTAAAGAAAGCCCCCAGGTTATGATAGTAGTTCATTATCATAACCATGTTAACACATATAATGAAGATACATACACATACAACTGCTAAACACTTAAGAAGGTGACATAGAGAAACCTAAGTCAGCCATGAAAATGAATGCATGTATTTAGTATAATATCTGTACAAAAACAATTGAAGTGAATTCCAGCTATCAGTGAAAGAATTTCAGCACTAATGTCTAGATCCTAAGGAAACTAGGCAGACAGCCGGTCCTGGAGGTGACATCTTGTCATCATGGGACACAGGGAGCTGTGAGGAACACAACATCATGCGAAGCATTAGACTTATCTTCTCTTATCTCTGTCTATGATGCCTCCCTCAGCTCCGGATGATTTGACTGTCTTTGACTCTGGGAATTCTGCTCCACTGGATCAAGTAGCAAGAGTACTTCACTGTACAGCAACTGTACTGGTATCTAGCATGTCTATATCACCAGTAAGGACACACAATGTCTTAGAGCCACATTACTCTGGCACTGGTAGCTGTTTGAGGCACAATCTCCCCCATTTTTGGAGATGTCAGGAACCTTCACAGGTGTTAGCTGGTGGGTAACAAGTTGGTTCTGGTGGTTGGATTGTTGGTGGATGTTGTGTGAGACTGTGAATCTTCTGCCAGCTCTTCAGAAAATATACATCCTGTCAAGAAAATAACTCAACATTAGTCATCATCAAGAGGGTAACATCTTGACAGGAAAGACAGAGCAAGCATAGTCATCAACTCCCATCTGCTGACTCCTCCCTGCTCTCCTGTTTCATTCCTCAGATTGCCTCTCCAGACCAAAAGACATAAGTCTCCTATATTTATCTGTCTGTTTAGTGCAAGAGAAGGCAAGTCAGATATGCAGTGGAGATAGATAAAGTGGTCTAACACATATATCATCTCCCCCTATCCCCCTCACTCTGCACACAAACACCAATATTTACTGTCAGTACCTGCATTCACTAGTTTTCCCAACCGCCCCAGCACTCATTGATCTGGGTCAAGCACACACATACTTTGATTAACACAGCCCTGACCCAATTCTGTCCCCATCTCGTATGTACAGATTCTGTAAGTAGTTTAAAACGTACACAATTGTAAGGGCATTAAATGTTTATCAGTATGGGTGGTTTATTGAGGGCATAAGCTATTTAGTCTGTACAGTGGAAGATCTACGTTCGAATCCGCTACTCTAGCGATCAAGAATGGTAGAACTAAGTGAGATCACACAGCCGATATGGATTTCTCTACAGCAGTGACTACTTTACAGACAACATTCTAGGTACTCGTAAACTATAATTAACTTACCCAAGCATATGTAAAACTGAGCCCTTTCCAGATTGCCTTGAAAATTTAAAGTATACAGGCACAGATTAACACATCTGGAGGCTTGAGAAGCTGGCAAGGAGAATGGCGTCAGTTAGACATTTCAGGCGTTGGTACAAAAGAAGTTCCTTGTATACTGGGGCAAGGAGTAAATCGGTTTCCAAGAAACCTCAATTAACTCCCTAAATATATCCCCAAAAGAAATACATTTAAAAGTGGAGTTTAGTTAAAGTAACCAGAAAAGGCAGACATAATAATGTTGTCCAATACAGGCCTATATATATAGATATAAGGGACTATATATTTCTGGGCGAGTCCAAGTTTGAATTTTGTGCAGATTACAGGTAAGACAGGTTATCAGCCTTACAAACCGATGTGTAATGACTATTTGAGCTATTCTACATTTAACTTCCTTAATACACCTTCCATTTGCTGTTATCAGTAAGTAAGTAGTAAAGTAAAGGACCCTTTCCACGCCTTTAGGCGTATAGGGCATATAGGGCTAGACCTATATTTTTATAGACCAATGGCACAAGATGGGTGATGTGGTCAGCATCACGCCGGCCGCCTCTACTTCCCGGGATTGCACCCGGTACCTACTCAAGGCTGGGTCGACCTGGGAGCCAAGGTCATTTTTGAAGAAAAGTCCGTCTCTGCCAGGGAGCGAACCCACGACCTTCCGATCCGCGGCGAGCGTCTAGCCGCTCGGCCACGGCGACGCTGTTATCAGGGCGATCACATACTTAAAGATGAGCTCGCTTTTCCCCTTCTTACTGTGGTGCTCCACTTTGAAGGGTTTATTTTCTTTGTAATTACCAGTACTTCGGTTTCTCTGCTGTTCAAACTAGGACCCTTGTTTTGACTGTTACAGTTTTGTAACTTGTCTTCAGTTAGTTATAGGTAATTCCACTGCAGGTAATGTCATTCATGTGTGAAGTGTTATGGTTTCTCAGATTCCAAGTAGTGGCATAATATGATAGAGTTTGTGGTTCTGCAGCTACAGAATGCAGATATTTTTTCCTGATTACATTGTGGTCAAGTAGATCGGTTCTAAATTTGCTTCCCATTATTTATTTATTTTTATTTGTTTTATTCCTGGTTGCATGATTTTTCCCCCCAATAATATCCACATTGCAATTTTTTTTTCTTCAAAGCAAATATTACTGACACCATGTATTTTATTCTCAATAGTGCTATTTAACTGCTTTAAATTAAAAAAAAAAAATTAATTCATTTGTAGATTGTAAATTATATTCCTGATAGTTAGATTGTAAATTATCTTCCTGATACCGTATTTCAGGCACCTGAATTTTATTACAACTTCATGGTGGATTTTATATCTGGAAAAGTGTCTTCTGAAGACCTAACGAGGTTAATGCTGGTGACTAATGCACTTGAAAGTGTGCCCAGGTAGTGCTGCTTCATCAGAGCTCAACACTGGCAAAGCTAGACTACGGATACAGTTATCCTCATCATAATTATTACTTGCCTTGTCAACTGGCATGAGTGATCATGCTTCTCCATATCTCACCATATCCAGCCAAATGTGTCAATTATTGTGCTGATACATCCCCAAGGCATGATGAAAATGCTGTCAAGAATCTTCTGTGACTGCCTTCCTCAAGTACACATGGATACTACCCAACATAAACTCTCTAAAACTGTAAGCGGAATGAAATCAGTAATTTGTGCATGCATATCAAAACCCTGAGTTGTTTCTTTAGAGAAGTTAAAGAGATTCTATGTGGTAACAATGAATCATTAAAATTAGTTAAGAATGTTTACATTTTATTAATAACAAATAACGTAGTCATTTATTTGTTTATATACATGTATTTCTATGTTATACTAGATTCAATTACTCGGCTTTGCCCGAGATGGTCAAACATAATTTTTAGTATCTTGTCCTCTACTTTGCCCAATCAATACCATATATTCAATTGCTGTCTATAACCTGGGTATAAATCTCCTGTCTCCTACTTCATTTGTTACAACTGCTGCCATATGTTTAGTCATTACCCCTAAGTGGTGCCCTGCAGGATCTTACTGCTCCCTGGCCTGTTCCACTGCCCCCCAGGCTACCGCTGCCTTAACTGCCATAGCACCATCAGCGGGATTGCAGCACCCACAGGAGGAAAGACCAATAGCTGTCGTGGCTTCCACTTAAGTCATAATTAATTATAGTCACCCTGTTAGTACTCTTTTTTTTTTTTGAAACTAAAGCACTAAGAACAGGATAACTGAAAATATACAATTCAATAAAATTGTTAACAATTGTAGCTGGGGCTTGAACCCAGGAGTTTTAGCTGGTTAAGCGGATGGGATAACAGCAACACTAAGACATTACATGGCCACAATCTAAAACTAAATCGCAGATATTAAACAGTGTGAAATTATATTGTATATATTGTCTGTTATATAGGCAGAAACTTCTGGTTATTTATCCACCTCTGGACTATGTCCTTGTTCTTTTGTTATTTTAAAGACCACCCTGGCTGTAGTCAGGGGCCCTAATACAACTAACGTTTGAACGGGGTTTCTGGGTCTTGTGCCCGGGTGATTCTCATGTGAATGGTGGCACTTTGTGTCACCGGGTGTTGGTTGCTCGTTGTAGTTGTGGTGGGGTTGAATGACGAACAATAAACTCACTCACCTGTCCACACAATAAAGCATGTTAGGCTTAAGTTGCTAGCCTAAATTGTTATACCATATATATAGATAATGTCGGTGCCAGCGAGCTTTGTAATGCCGGGGTGTTGGGTTCGATTCCAGCTGTGAGCCCTGCGCCTTGCGCTGGTTTCGACAGTGGTATCGAGAAGCTGACCGTCCAGAAAGCAGTGGCAAATTACTGGATGTAAATTTGTCTAGAAAAACCACAACAGCCAAATAATGATGGGGTTGGTTCTGCAACGTCCTGTAAAGGATACGCAACTAACTTTAAATATATATAGATATGTGTGTGTAAATATGTTTGTACATATGTACGTGTGAATGTATGTGTATTTGTGTGTATATGTGTATGTATATTTATGTATTTGTGTGTATACATGTGTTTTATATATATACACACACACAGTTTTAAAAAAGAATGAATAAATATAATATTCATATGTCTTTCTTTAAAAAGAGAACCTTTCCCCTCTTACTCTTTCCTTCCTTTCTTTCATGATTTCCTCATGATTAATTTGCATGTTTTAAATTTCAATGGAATATTTGCTGATTTGTGTATGTAAACATTACAACAGGATACACATATACATGGCAACACATTTACTACAGACAGACAAAAAGAAAACAAATGGTAACACCGTGTACACAGCCACACTCAATAGAGGTTTAACAAATTTTTCATACAAACTGGCACTCAATGAATGATTTATCATTATGAGACTACATTTACCTTATAAATGGACCTGAAACATTGAATAAAATATGATACTGAAACATTCTGTTAATGGTCATAGACACTCAACCATTTAATGCCAAACTCATTATTGATTTTGTTGTTGTTGATTTTGTTTTTAACTCTACATTTTAATATACTGGGAGCTGTGTTAGCACAGTAGCTTTTTATTTTAAAAATAATATTCATTCACATATAAATTTGATTTGAAAATAATATTTACATTTTTAAACACAAATATGTGACAAATAAAATATTTCTATACATCCTCTTTTCATGCCTGTTGTTAATTCTTTCTACTCTAAGTAACACGCCATGTGTGACTGGCTATTTTTCATGTGTAATAACCAGTAAGTCAGGTGTCACTGTACTTTTAGTTCGAGCATGCCAATGGAATCTGCAAATTTATTTGTTGGAAACACAATGTGTAGATTTGCCCCCTGTGAACGTAGTAAACCTGTGTATTTTGGTTCCATTGTCTAGCTACCAAGTTGGGTGCATGGTGTGACACTGTGAGCTGTGGATTTTCCTGTAGAACACTGTTTTGTCTGGGCTTTCAGTGATTTGTGTTGTGAACTGCATATTCAGAAAATAGCTGGTGGCTAGCTGTCATGAATACTAATTTCATCGATGATGAACTGCAATTCGAGTAACAGACTGTTGTGGTTGGCACCTCTGGTGGCTGCCTTATGCATTTAATGCATGTGCGAGATGTTGGATTTTGCCTGGACTGCTGTCTGTTTAACATTTCACATGAGACAGTGACAGGCATTTTGTGTGGTTTTCAATGGCACAAAAATGAACAATCATAGGGCGATATTTTTGCCGTGAAGTTACAACCGCAACCGATAACACTTGATCTTGTTATCTTTATCTTCTCTGTTGAGCAACAGCTATTTTTTTTTTTCCTTGTTCTGTATGAGTTAAAATACAACACATGCAAACAGACACTTATACAAATTATAACAGTCTTCTTGTAGAATAATTTCAATCTGTTTATTTTGACGTACAAACTGTTGGTGTGACTCAAAATATAACTTAATTTGTAAAGTCCTTATGACATCTGACCATAGCATTTCACAGAACCCTTCTGCAATCATATTTCAAATCAAATGCACTGCCCAATTTTTGAGAAATTGGAAAGAGAGGAAAGATGAGAAGCAGCTTAGGGAAGAGAAATGAAACACATTACAAATGATTTTAAAGAGCAAAGGTTATCTTGGAAGAGTGTCTTTTTTGAAGAAGTGATTTAATGTTTTACAACTGCTAGTGCTTATAAAACTTATATGACTTTATATAACAAATTTATAAACAATAATCCAGTAAGCAGACATTTTGCATTCACAAAAACACATGAAACAACCTAATGTCACTTGCTAAAAACAACTTTATGGTTAAATGACAACTAAAATATTTTACACATATTTAAGGTCATCTTTATTATTAACATTACAAAATACATCTGTTCATATTTTTGGGGTTAAAAAATGACATTTGACGTTTTATAATATGATGAAGTGTCTTAGACTATTCATAGTGATACTATATAATCTGTTTTGTCAAAAGAATTAAGATCAAATATAACTTTTGCTTATTAACAATGTCAGAACTGATAACTAGTAAAGGAAAGAAAGAAAACTGTTTTCACAGGCTTCTGTGCCAAAGACACTGACAAATATACATACAGCTACACATTATTACAATTATTTATATAAATCTGCTGCAAGAGATTGTTCAGCATGTAATAAAAAGCATTAAATTCTATAGATTACACATAGATAAAATGTTAACTGTAAAAATAAACTATTTCAGCATAATAAAGATAACACTATGAAACAGAGAGGCACAGCTCTACACTAGCCTGTGAAAAAAGCTTGGGAACATAATAAGAATATGATAAATATGTGAAAGACATGAATAAATAAACAAAATACTTAATTTCGAAAAATAATACCTCCCTGTGTTGGTTCCAGGATCCCAGTGCGGGGAAAAGGGGTGGGGGGGGGGACCCACTGCCCCCCCCCACCCCACAAGCATGTTCTAAAAGTCCACTAATTAGGGTGTGTTCAAAGTCAGAGTGCATTTTCTTGAAAGGCCAGGAGCCAAAGATCTGCACATAAATAAGCCAGATCTGTAAACTAGATGTGCACACAAAACTCTGGCACAAGACTTAAGTCCAGAAGTGAACGAATAACCAGAACTTTCCGCCGCAGTTTACAGCCGGTGAACACCCAGAAGAAGCGAAAGAAATAATAATAAACATCATATATCCCAATGATTTCCCAGAAGGTTATTGTTGAAAAAAGACAATGCAAAGTGACTGACATTTTAATACCTCTTTTTATAATTCATTTATCCAAATCAAACAAAATTACTTAAGGGGAAAAAGGGGATGGGGACTGCATGGTGAAGTGGTCAAGCCATCTGCCTCATATTCTTAAGGTCAGAGTTCATTTTATCGATGTGTCAATCAGTTCATGAGTACAGCTTTTATGGAGGTCCATGAGGATCACTGTCAGAGCTAAAGAGTTTGTGTTTTATGCAATACTGTCAGCAGGCAGCTAGCCAATCTGTGGAGACCAGACCATATGGGATAAACCCGGTGGAGTGAGTTGATCCTGTCAAATTCATCTCATTTAAACAACACTAACCATCTTAAGCTGCTGAATAAAACCTTTTGAGAGTTATGTTACAAGTCAAGTCTGCAACTGTTCCACCACAGAGATTCATTGGGGAACTAAATACTACAACAGGGTTATTCAGCTCGTGGTCCGTGGGTCAAATCCAGCACGCAGACGTCTAGCAAGTGGCATGCAGATCACTGCCAACTGCATTGTATTAATGATCTTTCTATGCTGGGAGCTTGAGCCTATGACCCGTGACAATCCCCATTTGCAACATTTTGGCCCCCCGAGTAAACTTACTTGAATAACCCTGTATTACAATCAGAGTTGCTATCTTAAAGTTCATATGTAGTACTACTGCAATATTACAATCTCAGTGATTTTAATATTTCCATATTTTTTGGGTCACCCTAAAGTGTTACTTGTTTATCTATAAAAGGGCAAGAACACTTGTGGGCTGTCTTGTGTGACTCTGTAGATTATCACTGTCATCAATGTTTGGTCTTAGTTGTTCTTGCTGCACACTGTCATTTGCATCACCCTCGACCTCTGCTACCTTCAAAACTGTGGTCTCTTCAATGTCACCAGAGATGTCCATATTTACTACTGGTGTGTCTGCAGCATTACTGTTGGGTGGAGCACTAACTAGTGCTGCCCCTACACTCCCCTCTCTATCATTTGTAATCAGGGCCTCACTAACACTTCCTGGGCTTGCAGTTGACTGATGTGATGCCTTACTATCACCACTTACTTCTGGTGTGTTTGCTGGAATTCCACTGGATGAAATTTGAGGTACATGTGCAATATCGCTTTCATTTGTTATACACGACTGATCTGCAGAGTACTCACTGTCATCACTATTTATGCTAGCTGATGGGTCACCAAGTGGTAAACTAGGAGGCTGTGGAATGAAGTCACTAATGACTGATCTAATTGATGGAGCAACCAAAACTTCATGTATCTGTTTCAGAAACTTTACTTCCTCTATGCGAACTGCACTGCGTTGTACATGACTCATAGGCATTACTGGTGTAAGATGATGTTCATCATTAGATTTGAATGATGATATCATTGAAGGCTGGGCAGAAGGTACATTTCCACTTTTTGTAACCAAATCAGTTACTAAATTATGATTCCCAACTGCTTCTTTTACCGCAGTGATACTATCAGTGAGACCTGGAGGAAACTTTGAGCCATCTCTTGTGCTTCCTGATTTAGGAAAACCGCTGTCTCTATCCCAATGAGTCTGTAACCTTTTCGGTTCTGTTCTGTTACCACTAACTGAGTTATTGCTGTCTTGTGAAGATGGCATCATTTTCTGCTCTGTGACACTGCCAGGATTGTCTGGAACTGCCTGTTCTGATGGTACTTTTGTGTCTGTAGATGAACTGGTTTCAACACTGTTAGGAGGTTGATTGTTATCATCATCATCATCATCACTGTCATCATCACTGTCATCTTCACTCTCATCAGAGATGGCTTTTGTAATTTTATCAGGCAGATATCTGTGAATTAATTTGTTAATATATTTATAGCAAATAATGACAGACTGCTCAAAATGTTCTAAAAATATGCTGTTTAGTTTATAAATATGTCATTATAAATTTATGGACATAGTGATTGGTTATCTTTATTTCCACAGCGTGCGCACACACTCGCACGTGTGTGTGTATATGAATGAACAAATGAATTAAGAATTAACATCCCTGCACTAGGGACATTCCCAAATGTGCTCTGTCTCCTTATTCAGTAGCCAACGAAGAGTCAATATGCCAATAGTACCTGTTTGCAAGCTAATTAAAAGTAAGCTTAAGTTTTCACCACAGTGTTGAATATCTTTCAGACACCCTGCTCACCCCTCACTGAATTAGTCTATCAGTGTACAGATACTTGGTCTGTTCTGTTGCACTGTCTACTCGATCCCAGAGAGCCTTCACCACTTCCACTTTATCATAACTTAGCTCACTCACCACCCAGAGAGCCTTCACCACTTCCACTTTATCATAACTTAGCTCACTCACCACCCAGAGAGCCTTCACCACTTACACTTTATCATAACTTAGCTCACTCACTACCCAGAGAGCCTTCACCACTTCCACTTTATCATAACTTAGCTCACTCACCACCCAGAGAGCCTTCACCACTTCCACTTTATCATAACTTAGCTCACTCACCACCCAGAGAGCCTTCACCACTTCCACTTTATCATAACTTAGCTCACTCACCACCAGGAGGAGCGGAAATAAATATATATATATATATATATATATATATATATATATGATATTTGTCCGGTTTTTAAGTAGTTTTGTTTCATTTAAAGTGCACAGACTACGAGATTTGAGCTAGATGTTTCTGTAGACTACTCAGCACTCAATGATCAATTTCATGCTGGCATTCTTCATTTCCTGTGATTTTTTCTAGTACTCATTTTAGGCTGGGTCAGACTGGGATGTCCAGACAATTGTTAACTTGTTCTTCATCAGTGATGAATATTTGTCACACATCAATTTCAGGAAGAGTCACAAGCAGACCGGTGCACATGAGGTCTATACCAGTGCTCCTAATTGTGACTTTATTTTGTAGGTGATGCATGCATGTTTGTGTGTGTAAGTGAGTGGGTGAGCGCGTGTATGTGGGTGTATGTATGCAAGCGCGGGTTTTTGCATGCACTTTACAACTCATGCTTTTGTGTTCTTTTATAATATTCATAATATGCATAACATCATATGATCATAACATGCTTTTTTAGTAAAATACAACTGCTGTGCGAAAGATGGTTGACTGGAAGGGCCGAATGTAAGACGGGCCTGCGTGCCAAATTTGTGACCCTTTGAAAATAAAGTTCGTTCATTTGTCTTATAAGGGACATGAGACAGACAGGAGGATTGATTTCCAGCCTGTGAATGTGGCATTTTCTTTTTCCAACTGGTTTTCCTTAACTACCTAAATCTTGCAGCATAAAGAAGGTCTGTTGCTTCTGTTTTGAAGCTGGTACAGCTATGGAGCGTATCTCTGTGCTGCCATTGAAATGTGTAATGTAGATTCTGCTGCCCCATAATTTTCTTTTACTGCCTTTTTTAGCAGAAAGATCTGAGAACATGTGTGACCAATGATAATAAGAAGTGTCTCAGTTTAACATCGCTCTCTATGCATAAGAAGTATCTCAGTTTGTTAACTTTTTTTTTAAGGTTATAAATCTGGGAATTCCAGAACAAAACTGGATATATCAAGTCAGCTGCTCATCTATGGTTTTAATGTGAGAGCTTCACACAACATTGTTGTGTCAGTTTCTAGCAGAACTATCCATTACAGGTGTTTGATGCAAGCTGATATGTGAATATTTCTAAATTTCTCTCTGAGAAACTGTCATGCAATGAAAGGTTTGGAAGCTTTTTTAGCTTTTGAAACTGATCATTTTGTATTTTTAAAAAATTCTTACTTAAAGAGTAATTTGAACAGCTGACCACTAAGCCAAATAAGCTAGTGAATACCCTTCCATAGCTCAAGTAAATAATGTATAGTCCCCATCCTCCCCCACACATACACCCCTGGATGCACAAATTTCCACACACACCCACCTACCCACACGTACGCACCCACTCCACACACATAAGCCAAAATTATAAATTAAAAACCTACCTTTCAAAATCAGATGGCCCAATTTCATCAATAGCATAAGGCACCTTCTTCCACTGGTTGTAGAACTCAAGAGGTCCATTGGAATCAAAGCCAAAGTACTTGATTCCAATAACAAAAAATGGGATTTTTGAATAAACCATCATACTACCAAGTTTGCTGTAACAGTGCTTCCCTTCTTCTGGCTCACCCATGCACCTTACGGAACCAATCAACTTCATTTCATCAATATATTTTGGTCCACTGTAAGGAATGGTCTTTGTCTGCTTAAGGATCTCTCTGCAAAAACAGAAACATACCTTTTCACACATTTGTGGGGGAAAAAATTATGAGATTTTAAAAATGAGTGCTAATTTGTTTATCTGGTATTAAGATTGAAAGACATCTTCAATGAACAGTTTGATTCACTACAATAAGTTCCCATGTGGTTAGCCCCCCCCCCCCCCCCCAAGCAGCTTATTGTAAAAGGCGACTAATTAGCGGGTTACTGAAATTAAATGTTTTGGACCAAAAGTCTGTGCAGCCTGTACTGTGCAGCCTGGCTGTAAACCACAACACAATGTGGTGCTGAATGCACAAGAAAAAGAAGAAAATACTGTTACATGAAATTGAGGTAACATACAATTTCAACAGGCCATTTGTTTTCTTGCATGTTTGCTTTATTTGTATGGTATGCAATAAATCCCTGTCATTAGAGTTTAGAAAATGAACTTATGCATGGGCAGCCAAAATGAGTTTACCTGATGCTCTGAAAGAGGCTAAAACACAAAGACAATTTATCACAAGCACCAGACAGAGGCAGTCATCAATTTGTGGCAACACTATGAGAAATAAAAAATGGGAACATACTGTGACAAGTAAAAAGATTTATGAAAAGAGAAACAGAGGAAGACAATGAGCAAAAATTATTCACTGTATTTTGTCACGTCTTTTTCTTCTTCTTCACCTTCTACTTCCTGTTCTTTTCTTCTTCTTATGCATCTTCTTCGTCTTAATCCTCCTCCTTCCTCCTATTATTCTCTTCTTGTTCTTCTTCTTCTTCTCCTCCTCCTTCTTCTCCTTATTGTTCTTTTTCTTCTACTTTCTCTTCTTCTCCTTTTGCTTCTCTGCCCCTTCCTCTCTTTCTCCTCCTCATTCTCTTCTTCCTCCTCCTCATTCTCTTCTTCTTCCTTTTTTCTCCTTCTTTTCTGTTTTTGTGCCTTTCAATGGCACTGCATTGTGGTTTAGGTTGTGACATTTGCATCTTTCAGACTAAAAACTTCCACTTTCCATTTTTTGTAGTCATCTTTCCTGACATGTTTGTTAAGAGGTCTGTTCATGTTTTAACTCCAAAAGGGGACCTTGGCACCCACATCAAGAGTTTCTATCTTCATTATCCATGACATTCCTCATTTCAGGATTCCTTCACACAATCTAGAACATATATACGCTGAGGCCGACCATCAAGAAGGATACAGGACACTGAAGATGCATTGGCTATGAAAGCACACATGGGTGAAGACTTTCAGGCTTGCTGTTAAGGGAGCAACGTTCCGTAAACGATATACTGATTGATTGATTAATATTCATAGTAATGGCTATATATCAACACTTACTTGTCGACTACAACATGATGTGTCTGAAAGATGGTTTTAATGTCCTTACTTTCAATGACAAGTCTCCTGCATCGATGACAAACCTGAGTAATAAGCAAAAGTACAAATACAAACTGCATCAAACACAACTTGTGTCATATCATTTATGTAGATCAGTTTTTTGATTATTCCAATCATTAAATTAAGTAATTATGCTGTGAACTCAAAATTTGTTATTTGCATGCTCAAAAATTAATGTTCTGACATGACTTTGTAAATAAAATTTAAGCTGGCTGGTGACCATAAAAAAAAAAACAAGTAAGAAAATGTAATAAAAACTTACTAAAATATGAAAGTACAACATAGGGGAGCCGCCATGGTGTCGTGGCTAGACTCTCACCTGTGGATCCAAAATGACCTTGGCTCCTAGGTTGACCCAGCCTTAAATGGGAACCAGGTAAAGTCATGGGAAGTAAGGGCGGCTGGCCTGATGCTGACCACATCATCCACCGAGTGGTGATTGGTCTATAAAATATAGGTCTAGCCCTATATACCCAATAAGCCTAAAGGTGTGGAAAAGGGTCCTTACCTTAATTTAATGTCTGTTCAAAAAAAGGATTTTTTTTTTTCAAGTGTCTTTCATTAACTTTCAAAAACTGCATTTCTATATGAACAACTGAATGTCATAAGAATAAACATTTACAGATTTTCTAATAATGTCTCAACAGAGACTCAAAATCTTTAAGCAAATATAGAAAGAAAGCAAAATATTCTTCTAAGATTTTACACCTTAATAAAACTAAATAATAATTATTACTGCATTTAATTAGATATTTAATTATCAGGGGATTTAGCATCAGAGGCCAAAGGGGTAGTAAAGAGAAATGTGAAATCAGCACATTTTGCATTCACTGGGCTTCTAGGTAGGAACCTATGAATGAAAGATGCAATCCTTTGGAATTAAAAAGTTAGGAAATTTACAAAGATGCCAATTTCAACGCTTTTCAAAATGAGTCCAAGGTAATGTAAAGATGGCGGCGTGATGTTGACCATATGACCTGTTGAATCTCAATTCCTCTATTAAAACATAAGTTTAGCATTACATGTTTCAAGTATAAAATTACTAAGCGAACCCTGTAGACAGTCGCCAATGAAAAAGCAATCTATGTTCAAAGTTAGGAGAGGCAGGATCCTGTTTTCCAACAAGTGTGAATTTGGGACAGATACAGAATTACTGAATGTTATAAGAATGATTCATGTATAATCTGTCAGTTTTCTAGAAAATGTCTTGGCATGTAACAATGATGTGAACTACCCACCCCTTCTAATTATGCCTGCTGACATGTGAAGGCATAACACTTCACAGCCTAACTGCAGTATCTGACATGTGAAGGCATAACACTTCACAGCCTAACTGCAGTATCTGACATGTGAAGGCATAACACTTCACAGTCTAACTGCAGTATCTGACATGTGAAGGCATAACACTTCACAGCCTAACTGCAGTATCTGACATGTGAAGGCATAACACTTCACAGCCTAACTGCAGTATCTGACATGTGAAGGCATAACACTTCACAGCCTAACTGCAGTATCTGACATGTGAAGGCATAACACTTCACAGCCTAACTGCAGTATCTGACATGGGAAGGCATAACACTTCACAGCCTAACTGCAGTATCTGACATGTGAAGGCATAACACTTCACAGCCTAACTGCAGTATCTGACATGTGAAGGCATAACACTTCACAGCCTAACTGCAGTATCTGACATGGGAAGGCATAACACTTCACAGCCTAACTGCAGTATCTGACATGTGAAGGCATAACACTTCACAGTCTAACTGCAGTATCTGACATGTGAAGGCATAACACTTCACAGCCTAACTGCAGTATCTGACATGTGAAGGCATAACACTTCACAGCCTAACTGCAGTATCTGACATGTGAAGGCATAACACTTCACAGCCTAACTGCAGTATCTGACATGTGAAGGCATAACACTTCACAGCCTAACTGCAGTATCTGACATGGGAAGGCATAACACTTCACAGCCTAACTGCAGTATCTGACATGTGAAGGCATAACACTTCACAGCCTAACTGCAGTATCTGACATGTGAAGGCATAACACTTCACAGCCTAACTGCAGTATCTGACATGTGAAGGCATAACACTTCACAGCCTAACTGCAGTATCTGACATGGGAAGGCATAACACTTCACAGCCTAACTGCAGTATCTGGCATGTGAAGGCAAAACACTTCACAGCCTAACTGCAGTATCTGACATGTGAAGGCATAACACTTCACAGCCTAACTGCAGTATCTGACATGGGAAGGCATAACACTTCACAGCCTAACTGCAGTATCTGGCATGGGACTGATTATCTTTTACGTTTCTATAATAAAGATGTTGTCAGAATCAAACAACACATAACTCTATTAAAATAAATAAGCCACTTACCATTTTGAAATCCTTTTTCTGCAGCTTTCTCTCTTCTTGTGCCTTTACAATCTGTTGTATCTCTTCATCTCTCATTATCTGCAGCTGGTGGATTTTGTTCTTCTTACGAATGCTTGCCCGTTTCATTTGGCTTATTCTTTTTATTGCCTTTTCCATCATTTTTGCTTTTTCTTGATTGATTCTCTCTTTCCTGATAATTGAATCCATGGCCAACAGAATGGACATTCCACCTTTTTTTCTGCTTCTCCCTAAGCAGAAAATAAAAATGTGTATATGCCATTTAATTCAAATTGCATTAAACATCACATCACATAATAATTAGACTAGTCATTTTTTTTTAAAGTCTGTTTTGCTTAGTTTTAATATCTAGTCCACTGAAAAAAAAAATTATTTAATAGTTCAATAAGATCAGTGAGACAGCATCTGTGTTTTAAGAGCTATAAAAACAGTTTCATAACTCTGCCGTAGCAGTTTCAAAGTAAGCTGCATAATTTTTCTAGGTCTGCCTCTGCCTCTTCTGTATGTGTGTATGTGTGACAAGTAAATATGTGGTGTCTTTGTGTATGTATGATTATGTGTATGTATGAGTGTTTGCAAGGGTAATTGTATAAGATTTTATGTGTGTATGTGTGTCATCTGCACATAGACACACTCAAACACACATAAACAGGCTCATACACACAGAGCGAGACAGACACACATACACCCAGGGACATACGCAGACACACACAGTCACATGCACACACAGACACACACATAGGCAGACACACAGGCAGACAACAAAAAGAGAAAATTGTCCATCAGAGTGTGTTTACAGTTCATTCAAGGAAGTCTGACGTACATACAAGAGAGTGCTCTATCACTATTATCTTCATTATCCTATGGCTGCTACATCATCATAAATAAAACAACTTATCTAACTTTGTCAGCTCTGTGGCTAAGATGATGCAAACGCTTCGCAATGGTGGGATGCCGGGTTTGTTTCGAGCTGCGGGCCATGCGCCTTGCGCTGGTTTCGACAGTGGTATCAAGAAAGCCGACCGTCCAGAAGGCAATGGCAAACTACTGAACGTTAATTTGCCTAGAAAAACCACACAACAGCCAGGGGCTGTTGGGGTTGATTCTGCAACGTCCTGTAAAGGATACGCAACTAACCTATCTAACTTTGTCTAATACTTAATGCTATCTACCACTGGTTTTTCCTGCAAATCACTGTGTGGGTTCCTGGGCCCTACTGTAGAGAAAAAAACAGAATAGACTCACTGCCTCTCTTACAAGCATGTCATAAAAACAAACTAATTAGAAGTTTTCAGTCAAAGTCAGGGTGCAACAGCCTGAGAAGCAAGGAATAATGTGCAACAGCCTGAGAGGCAAGGAATAACGTGCAACAGCCTGAGAGGCATGGAATAATGTGCAACAGCCTGAGAGGCATGGAATAATGTGCAACAGCCTGAGAGGCATGGAATCAACGTGCAACAGCCTGAGAGGCATGGAATAACGTGCAACAGCCTGAGAGGCATGGAATCAACGTGCAACAGCCTGAGAGGCATGGAATAACGTGCAACAGCCTGAGAGGCATGGAATCAACGTGCAACAGCCTGAGAGGCATGGAATAACGTGCAACAGCCTGAGAGGCATGGAATCAATGTGCAACAGCCTGAGAGGCATGGAATAACGTGCAACAGCCTGAGAGGCATGGAATCAATGTGCAACAGCCTGAGAGGCATGGAATCAATGTGCAACAGCCTGAGAAGCATGGAATAACGTGCAACAGCCTGAGAGGCATGGAATCAACGTGCAACAGCCTGAGAGGCATGGAATCAATGTGCAACAGCCTGAGAGGCATGGAATCAATGTGCAACAGCCTGAGAAGCATGGAATAACGTGCAACAGCCTGAGAGGCATGGAATCAACGTGCAACAGCCTGAGAGGCATGGAATCAATGTGCAACAGCCTGAGAGGCATGGAATCAATGTGCAACAGCCTGAGAAGCATGGAATAACGTGCAACAGCCTGAGAGGCATGGAATCAACGTGCAACAGCCTGAGAGGCATGGAATCAATGTGCAACAGCCTGAGAGGCAAAGAACGATCAGTCTGCATACAAATAAGCCAGATCTGTAAAATAGATGTACATGCAAAACTCAGGTTCTGAAATACAGAAGTGGATGAACAATTAGAACATTCAGCTAGACTTTACAGTCGGAGAACACGAAGAAGATATCTGCTATATTATGTCTCTCGGAAGTCTAAACAAGTCATGTCTATCTTCCTCTGTTTCTTTTCCAAATTACCACAATTTTAATCTTTTGTCTGGGTTCATTTGCACATTGTGTGTCACACAGTGTTTATGGGCTCTGTGCCCTCTTCATGACTTTGCCATGTCATGACCCTCAACCCCAAAACAGGACATGATGCTCATTATGGATGACAAGTCACAGACTGTATTTTTATTTTGTAATGTTAATGTCATTTAAATGATTAAAGATTTTACCTCGAGTCTGCACTGTAGTGACCTCATTTCCTACATGGTTGTATTTGATGACAAGGTTGCACTCAGGAATGTCAATGCCTTCCTCACCAACTGATGTTGACACTAGCAGTCTCACATCTCCTGATTGAAAGCGCTGGATAACTTCATCCTGCTCAGCTGTGGTCATTCCTGAGAAGTAAGTTGGATTTTCATGAATGTGTCCACTGAACAACTGCTAGGGCACAATATAATGCAGCAGAAATGATGTTTGAAATGGTCTCATTGTAAATGCATCAGAGTAAAAGGTATTCATTATTTAATATTCATGTTTCAAATCTACGTCATGGTAAATTTTTTGCATAACTGGCCTTGGCTCCTAGGTCCATCAGGCCTAATCCACATACCAGATAATGTCCTGGGAAGTGAAGGTGGCCAGTGTGATGATGATCACCTCACCATACAAGTGCTGACGTCTATACAAAGATGTAGGTCTAGCACTATATACCTGATGTGCCGAAGGCATAAAAAAGGGTCATATATGCACTTACAGGTGTAAATATTCAGTGCTAAGACATATGTAAAAAATATGTTTGTTAAATTGTATGGGTACATATAGCTATAGACTAACATAAACATAAATATATGCACACTACATTCAAAAAGTACCCACATAAAATATACAGCACCATCATCTTAAAGAGATTATATGTTGTAATAGTTGTTTGGTTTCATAACCAGGCTTTTGAAATTATCGGTTTCAGAGATAGTCTTAAAATAATGTTCATCAAAAAAGAAAAGAAAAGTTACAAGATCTGATCATTTTAAAAACTGGGTCATGAACAGCAACAGTCAAAACTAAAACAGTAGTTTAGACAGAACAGTAATGGGACTCATGGCTTCACGAAGTAGAGACAATAGTCAAACCAACATGATGATGGAAATTTGAAGTAGTCAGGGCCTGAAGCAGGGAGCTGGCAAAGTACAAAAGAGTCTATCCAGAAGTCTGTGATGACAGCAATGTTCTACAATGTGCTATGTATAAAGGTCTGACACCCCTTTCCAACAGAACAAACCATGAAGCAGTGTCCAACTATCTAAAAAAAGATACCATTAGTGAGCACCAAATAGTACTATGGTGTAACCTGCCGACAAAGGTGGTTTAGGAGTGTATACCATTTGTTTTTGTGGACAGGACATTATGTTTTTCCAGATTTTAAATATTTAAAACTGGGGTCGTCTTATTCAATGGAATGTTACAATTAAAAATATAAATAAACACATGCCCCTATCCACATCCCGTCCCTCAGCCAAGCCTCACTATTGGCCTGATGGTATTACCTGGTCTTGTACAACTCCTCCTTTCCCCAGAAGCCCCCCACTTAAAGCATTGTCCCTTTTATCCAGTTGCCTCAACCATCCACCAGCACCATTTTCGTAGCTCACCCACTCAGGCAGCTCTGGTAGCCTCAGCTCCTTGATCAGCATTTGCATTTGCTGGCGCCCATGGAGTAAATACAGTACATTACTAAACATATTGTAAAACATATCAGTGTTCTGAATATTTAATAACATATCAGAGTTATTCTGTTTGGTGTTTAAAATATTTACTTCTTAATTTTGGGCTAGCAAAAATAGGGGTGTCTTATAAGTAAAGGTCCCTTTTCATTGCCTTTAGGCGTATAGGGCATACAGCGATAGACCTATATTTGTATAAACCAATGGGCACAAGATGGGTGATGTCGTCAGCATCACGCCGGCCGTCTTTACTTCCCGGGACTGCACCCAGTACACACTCAAGGCTTGGTCGACCTGGGAGTCAAGGTTTTTTTTTTGTTTAAGTCCGGCTCTGCCAGGGAGTGACCTTCCGATCCGCAGGCAAGCGTCTAGCTGCTACGCCACGGCGACTCTCAGGGGGTGTCTTATACATGAAAAATATAGTAATTATTTGCTGGTGTCTCTTTGAGATTTGCAGGGTTATTTGTAACAGATGGTATTTTAACACACACAAAAAGCAAATGTATAATTCAGCGGCAATACACACCTCCTTGATCAACTGAAGCTGCAGTTCCAGTGAACACAGTAGCTTTCAGATCCCTAAGTTTTGCGTCACTACATGAATTCAGCCATGAAGCCAGAGCTTCTGTTAGAGCCCTAGTACGTACAAATATTATACATCTGTCTCCTGATTCAATGAGGTATTTCAACAAGGTTTCTTTCAGACGAGTGAGGTTTGGGTTTTCAGTACCTTTTCGAGTTTTCATAAGATTTTTTAGTTCTGAAAGAGAAGAATAAGTTGGAAACATTAAATATTAGAAGGAATCATTCCAAACAACAGAAATAAAATGTGTTGAAACTAATTTAATGAGTAAATTAGCAGATGAGAGGAGGGGAAAATAATTACCCTACCATTATGAGAATTGTGGTGACATAGTGGCTGTCAAATTACTTACATACTTGCTCAGTTGTTGCGTGTTTAAACCCCAACTGAGGCAGATTTTTCAAATTGACCTGGCATGTCAAGTCAATCTGCCTAAAAGGGTACAGGAGGTGCTCTTGGAAGGAAAGATAGCTGACGTGATAATGGCTCCATCACTCACTCAGTGCTGAATGATCTATCAAAATATAGAATGACCATCATATACATCATAGGGCTCCTGATAAAGAAAAGGGTCCTCTAACTTACTTACTTACCATTAAACTGTTATAACTGCAGTATTCTCACCTGAGAAATTATAAAATTACTGCAAAAAAAATTTTTTGTTTTTGTTTTTTATAATTTTAGATAATTTAATTACTAACCAATAAAGCATTGTATCTACAATGAGAATATTAGGAACATCTGATTTCCAACAGTTCCTTTCTCTCAGTCTGATGATGCACACTGATTTTTTCTTCTTTTTCTTTTCATCGCCCAGCTTCTGAGTTGAATGCATGGCATGACACTGTGAGCTGCGGATTTCATTTGGAATGTTTTTTTGACTGTGACCAATATGGTGGTGTGAATTGTATATTCAGAAAATTACGTGATGCCTGTAGTCGCAATGTTGGTGGTGCCCTTATGTGATTAAAATTGACCACTTGTGCAACTGCTGATCTGTTGCTGACTTCTGCTACCATCAATGATGAACTGCATTCCTAATGTCAGACTGTTTGTGTTGGCACTTCGGATGGCTACCGTATGCTTTTAATGCGTGTGTATGCTAGATATGCTGAGACAAATAAGTCAGATTGTAAAATGGATGCAAAACTCAAGATCTGGATCAAGATCCTAGTCTAGAAGTGGACAAAAATCCAGGATATTCCACTGAAGTTTACAGCCAGTGAAAATGAAGAAGAAGAAGAAGGATTTTAAACTTTAATATTTTAATTCAGAAGATAATTAATAAATATTCTTAAAAAAAATATTTTTTTTAACTTTATTTACCTGCAAAGTCTTCAAAGTAGAAATTTTCGTTACTGCTCCGGTTTTCATTCTGACTGAATTCAGAGAAACATTTGTCCAAATATGACAAGACATGTTCCAGCAAAACTAAGTCATGCAACTCTAAAGCATTATTGTATGCCTGAAATAACAATCAAAAGACTGTTGAAATAGTGTAACAATATATTTTGGGAATGTTACTGTCAAAATGTAATAAAATCCAGCTTAACTAAAAATCAACTGGTCATTTGTCATTAGATTTGCTAAAATGTTTTTCTTATATTTACAGTAAATATAGTAAACAACACCTGTTCATGCCATGAGGCTTATCTGGTATATGGTGTTTGCCTAATATTTTTAGTCTGATCAGTATTTCAAATTGTTTGGTATTCATTTAAGACTTGGTCAACATGGCACTCAGGCGAATGAAGAAATCTCTACTCTGAATGAGAGTCAATAACTATCCCACCGTATCAAAGTACAGTCCCATAATACTGTGTATCTTTGGGGTAATTGAGTTACTCTTGACTGTTTGATCAAGTCTTTTCATTTACAGCAACCATATCTGATGGACTTGATATTTCGTATTTCAGGCCTGCCTGGTCAGTGGGATTTTAGATTCAGGATTTACTTTACCTGCCTTATCCTTTCTTCTTTTGTACTAAGCACTTAGCATGGTTTTGGAGAGTGCAGCAGATCTTAGATCACATGTTGACACCCCTGCCTTTTACATCGTTTAACACACACACACACACACACACACACACACACACACACACACACACACACACACAAAACTCACTACTGTCTGTATTTACCACTTTTTAGGGCGGTGCAGTCAGGAGGGTCATGAGGATTTAGGGCCCCATGGCTTGTGCCGTCGCCATGGACTGTACAAGGTAAAATGTTTAATTTTCGCCCCTAACAGAAAAACTCCATCACCTTTCCAGGGGTCGAACCCAGGTCTCCTACATGAGAGCCTTATGTTGTAACCACACAGCCAGCTGCTCCTCTTACATTATTTTAATGTTCTTAAAAGGGATTAGTTAACATGGTGTAAGTCTCTGGTAACATTTCACGCCTGGTAAATCATTTATCCCATAACCTGTGTCCTTCCAAACAGTTTATCAACCTGTACTATGCAGCTGTAAGTACAGTGCTAGAACTAAAAACTCACAGAGCATGTTGAGAAAGGTGAAATGGGGACTGAGCACTTATGGGAGTGTCCCGACTGCTGTAATGTTGATTTTTAATTCAACATTCAACTAAAACTTTCATTAAATCACTTGTACCATTACTGGCATTGATGGCAGGGAAAATAGTTATCTAATATTACTATAAAACACAACATTTTAAGAATATGATATGTATGATTAGCTGTTAAACTATGCTGATTTCAAGGCACTACAAGTGTATGCTTAGGATAGGTGGGGGCAAAGACCCGCATGGGGCAAAAACATGCAGTCCATTTAAATGTTCAGGCTGGTGTTTTTGTGTGTGTGTGTGGCTGGTTTTTCCTTGGCCATCACTGGCTAGATGGTGTCACGTGGGTTGCCAAAAATCAATCAAGTCTTGCTGTCACCAGCCAAGAAAATGAGGTAAGTTGCTTTTTTCAACTTTTGATGTAATATTGTGACTCTTGTCAGTGCACTTTCACACACAAAAAAGTATGCAATGGAGCTGTTAGTCAACTTATTCATTAAAAAGTAACACATTTAACAGTAGAAATAGAGGTGACCTGTCGAGGTTAGTTAGTTTATATTGGTTCAAAGTTACGAATGCGAAATTATGATAAAATTGGGCAAAAACACGCAGCCTGGTGGGGCAAAGACCCACGTGCATGCTTTTACCCCACGAATGTGTGTCTCTATCCCTATCAACTGCAACTGATTACAACCTGATTCTGTTAATAATCTCCAGGAATACATAAGGAAGACAAGCCAGAAACTACTCACTGAACCTTTACTAAAAAAAGCGAAGGCTCTAATAGAGATGGGGGTTTCTATTAGACAAGTGATCGACTTTCACGAGTCAAACTATGGAACAGACTGAAGACGAGTTGGAGCAGAAATGCTGGAGTGATTCCAGACTGTCTTTTCCAATGAACATGAACAACAGTTAGTAGAACATTTTTTGGATTAACCCTCAAGTCTCTCTGATTTCTAATGTATTCCTTCCTATGCAGAAACAAAAAACATACCTCATCCCTTTCCTGCTGCAACAAAACTGGCTGGAACAGATTTAAAATGTTCCTTCATGAAAAGAAACAGACTGTCATTGCGGACACCACGGAAGACGAGCATTGCAAGGACAATGGGCTTTAATCAACTGCAGCTGGCCCAATACACGTTGTACCAACTGGGAAAAAAAGAGGTTGCTTAATCTGTTGCTGCTCAGCAAGGTAAAATAGTGACTGTAGTCTGCACGTGAATGCCAGGAGAAGAGGAAAAGAGGAATTTTATTGTACTTCAGAATTGCACCTGGAGACGTTGCTGTCGTAAGAGACGCAGGAAAGCAAAAAACTCTATTAGCTTAAATGTGGTTAAACTTACTGATTGTGATGATGAGGTATATGTCAGCATCTTCTACAAATGAACCCCTCTCAGAGATTTTCAGAAACAAAGGAAGAGTCCTATTTTGAAAGGGAAGACATTATTTTTAAACTCTCGAAGCCGATTTTCAGCAGTTCAACTCAGTTTTAAAATGTGATAAGCTTTGCAAATGACCATAGTGATTTTTTTTCAATTTCTTGAAAAAAACAATGATTCTACAATGATTTTTCCAGTCTACTGTCATTAATTTTATAAATAGGGCAAAGACCTGCAATGTATAGATGCCCAGAAAATGCAATTATTTTGATTATTAATAACAACACAGACTCAGTTGTTACACATATGGCGGGTAAGTGGCTAAAACTATTTCCACATGAAGTTTCATATAATACATATGAATGGTTTTCCAATAATCTTTAAAAAAACAAAACTGCTGGTCTTTGCCCAAACCTACCCTATATGTTAGTGTTTGCAAATGTGTATTTAAATATTTACTTAAATATCAACTGAGGGGTGTCAGAACATTCTTATATAATGATAATACAAATAATACTCTGGATGTATAAATTCTTCTATGTGTACAAAATATATTTGTTAAGCATTTCTTTCATTTAAAATAACTTCAAATAAATGGGCATGGTTGGAAAAACACACAGTACCAAGCAGCCTTACCGAAAGATAGTCAGCGATTATGATCAAGGCCCTAACTGGGGAAATAGTCTCTCGATTTTCTTGTCTTGGAAATGCTCTGGCCATATTGCGAATCTTGACTGTCCACTGACCATACAGTTGACTTTTTTTGTTTGAAGGAATCTTTTTCAGAAGAGTCTTCAGCTCATCATTATTTATTTCTGTAATTTACAATAATTAATCAGTATTAAATTTACTAAAGGTTAATGAGTTGCTCCTACATAAATTGGTTCTAAACTTCCTAGTGTTTGTTCTGGAGCCCAATTTGGGGGAGGGGAAACCAGACCACTGCTCCTTAACAAGGATGTTTAAAAAGGCAACCAGTTAAGGATTTCCTGAAACTGCATGTGTTAGGCCAACTAGCAAATATGGCTGTAATTCTGTGAGCCTAGCTGAAAACCCCACAAAACATTCCCACCGCCAATGAAAAGGTGAACATAGAAGAAAGCGAACAGCCATAATGTAAACCTTGAAAAGAATCCTACACAGCTCAGCAGCAAATCAGTTACTTCTTCATAGACTACGGATGGCAAAATAGGATATAGCGTCCTGATGATTTGGCCTTCCCTGAAGACACTGGCTTCCTGATACACACCTAATATCAATGCAAGATAAATTCAGCCTACAAATGCTAAGAAAATGGGTTGAGAACCCACTGGGAATTTCTCTTTTTAGAAATATTCTATACAGGTTACTACCACATAAAAAAATTTATTTAATTACATTTTTTTATTTCACCACCTGTCCCCAAAATATGTAAAAGGGTATAAATCAATAATCAATAAACACAAGCAGAATAAAGCATTAAATGGTATATATTCCCCAGGGTCTAAACAGATATGTATCCGGTGACTCATGACATGACCCCGTGACCTCTATCACTGGAGCTTATGGGAAAATTTTGATTGATGTCAACATACCTTAAAAAAAAAGGCACTGGGGTCATAATGTCATACCCCCTCCCCCAATCAAAATAATTTTTTATTAATTCACTCACATCCAGGCCTCCTAAACACTATACTGGTGCACACAGAAGAAATGAAATTTAACTACGCTTTTCAAAAACAGATCAGTGCAGAAAGGCTGAAATATTGCCATTATGGGATGGTGTCCTAACCAGAATTAACCAGATTTAGTCTTCTCAGGGGGAAAGGATTAAACATATATGATGGCAGGTCACAACAACTGGGTATAACATGGACATGTTAAGGCAAATTATTGAGGACACATAAAGCAAAGATGGTTGTGTGAGGTTTGAGGTATTTACACATTCAGTGTACTTCTGGAATGGTCGATCTCTACACTTTGATAGAGCCTGGGTACCTATAAGCTTGCTCACAATGCTAAGTCATATTTAAAACCTCAGATCATTTAGTACCAAAAAAAATAACAATGATGTTAATATTTCCTGAATTAGCTCGACTGAAATAAGGTGGTGGTAATATTAATTTTGAACTAGTAAAACTTGAAAAAATACTGTTTTTTTATTTAATGCTTCAGTTTCCTACCTTTAACATGATGATGAACTGCTTCTTCAAGTTTGTTCATTAGCTTGATGATCTTTTTAACTGCTTCATCCTGTTCTATTTCTCGTAGTTTAATCAATTCTTGAAAGAAGAAAAGGCACAAAATAAAATGCATCAAGTATACAAAATAAATTACAACAATATAAATTATTGAGTTATGATTTGGGTTATCTTCACGGCACTCCGGACACGTCCATAGGTGCTCAGAATCCCCTAGTATAAATTAATATGACGATGAGGTGTAAACTAAAGGTTCAAACATAGGTAAATATGTAAGGAACCCTTTTTTTCATGCCTTGGGGTTCTGTAGATACATATTGGTGGCTTCATTTAAAAAAAAAAATAGATTAATAAGAACTCTATAGATAATATGGTTAACTGTATGCTGGTAAACTTTGCTTCTTAGAACAGTTCCTGATGCTCATTTAAGACTTAACTGACCTGATAGCATAGGTCACTTTTTAAAAAAAATCTGTTTTTTTTTTTCAAAAGGGATGTGAAAACATGATCATCACATATTTTGCTACAATGGTTCTCCTTGATCACTCAAATATATTTCATTTCAGTGACTGTTCCATAATAGGTGTTTTCAATAACTGATATCATCTTTCAAACTGTTACTTCGATTCCTTATATAATGACTGAATAAATATTTCAAACACTATCAAAATGATTCCACCATTTTTTGTGAGGGAAATGAAGACATTAATATGCCTGACATTTGTTAGTTTCCATCCTCTTCTGATAAACTTATTCTTTTAGCAAACCCTTATGAACAAATTGCATTTGAACCTTTTGAGGTGATATTGTTAGTTCTTTTATCATTCTCATGTCTGTGTGTATGTGTTCGTGCGTGTATGCATGCGTGAGTGTGGGTCCGTGTGTTTTTTTTTTTTTTATAATTCAGATTAAAAAGCTGAAAATGCCAAAGGATAGTAAACACAGCTCAGAGAACAAAAAAAATTAAATGCAGTATGTGAACAACTGTGCAAAAGAACAGCAATGGATACTCATTTATCTAGGAAAGTGCTGTTCAAGTTGAAATTAGAAACCAGGCATGTGGGTGTAGAAGATTAGGGTAAAACACCTTCCAGGATTAAGTTAATGATTATGTTGAAAATATGTAAACATACCAGAAAAATCTGGTACTTCATATCAGTTGTTAGGGTTGGCAGGAGACCAATTAAAGTGTCTTGTGTCTTCATGAAGTTGAATCCTTGTAATTTTACAACATGGCACACTATGACAGTGATGAAACTTAGAAAGCTGGATGGCATCAAGCAAGAAATGGCAATGTTGGGTAAAAACATCCTTGAACAGTAAGACAAAATGGAAATATGAAACTGTATTCAAGTCCAAGAATACAACAAAATGCACTCAGATAGTGAAAATGGACAAGAAGGAATGCCTGTTGTACTTATTTAAGAATCAACATTATAGCACACCCATAGATGCCTCTCTTCCAGCAGCAAATGTCTAAAGGTGTAGATGCTAACTGTTCCTGTAGCACACTGATTACACATACATCATTCTCTTCCCCTCATGTGCCCATCCTTGCCAGATCCACTCCTAATTCCTCACTCACACATTCTTACACATGTTATTTCATCTAATCTCTATCAACATTAATTTATATTTGGTCTTCAAAATATTTCCCTTGTCCAATACAAGTGTTCCCATGGCTATTGCTTTTGTAGCCAGAAAATCTGCTCTTTCCCTCGCACTCCTGCATATCCTGGACAGTACATCCACATGATTCTCTGCAATATTGTGTACTGATGTTTGGTATCTACTCATGCCACATATGTCCATTCTGAACCTTCCACAGTACCGACCGAGAATCAGACACAATAATTACTTTGGTAACTGTTTTCTGCTATCATATCAGAGCTGCAGTGACAGTCTCCACCTTCATACTCCTGCTTGAAATTGTAGATGAAACATTTTATTTTAAAAACTCAATTTTGTTCTTCCACAATCTTTCCCTTCATTCTAGCTGAAAATCCCCAGCCAGATCTTACATCCCAAGGAACAGAACCACTAGTGTACACTACTGCATTGTCTAGCCCAGCCTTTTCATCTATCAGTTGTTGTACCTCTAATTCTGCCATATTGTAACACCACTCTCTATATTCTCTTCCTAAAGTAATAATGACCTGATGGAAACTGCTGCTGTGTGTGTTCATGTCGATCCATTTCTGCCCCCTGTGTATTTATTTTCCGACTGAGGCCACCGTCTCGATGGTTTTTTCAGCTAGTGCCATCCATGACTTTCCTCTTTTCAACCGGTCTCCTCCTAAATCTTTCAGATTGTCATGCAGTGGATGCCTTTCGTCACTGGTAATTCACATATAGGCCTTGACTTGTGCCAGTGACAGTCTAGACTTTGCCGATTTCAGCCCAAGCATATACCTCATTGTTATAACTCGTGTATCTTGTGTGCAACCCAGGATAATTCTCATTCTTTCATTTGAATCTTTTCAAGCTTTGTACACTGTAAACTAGACAGGGTTAAAATTCTTAGGCCATAATCAATTACTGAAAGGGCCAAATGGTTGAACAATAAGACCAATAGTTTCATGTGTGTGGCCACCATCATCTTCAGTGCTGCCAGGCCACGCTTATATTTGATCACAGTCTGCTCCACGTGATACTTGCAGGACAGATTACAATCAAACATCAAACCTAAGTATTTCAGAAACTCTTGTCTTTCATAATGTATACCCTTCATGGATATGCTGGGAAAGTCTTCCTTTTCAATGCTGTTATTTAAGGAGCATGAAAAAACACTGGCCCTCTCTGGATTTACTCTCGACCCTGTCTGTTCACACCACTCCGTCACCCCACACAAAGCACTTTGCAAGTCGCTGGTAACGTTGTGCCTATCTAACTCACTTCAATACATTAGGACATCATGTGCAAATGTCAAAGTTCCCCCTGGTCATTGGGCTGTATTTTTGCCAGACTTCCTTATATATGTTGAACAAGACAGGTGACAATGGTGATCCCCGAAGAGGCTAGAGCAAATGCGTATTGGATCTGATTTCCATGTTCCCAAAGAAAATAGCGTTGTTCTTTCCAGCAATGCTGCACCCATCAAAATGGCCAACCAATGGTTCACACCACAGCCCATCACGTACTGCATAAGATACGTAAAGTCAATGCCTTTGATGGCCATATAGCTGTCCATGGTGTCCAGTTGCATTCCCATTCTTTCTAAGTGTGACATCACTTTCTTTGCCACAATTTTTCCCAGCAGTTTGCCATTCACATTTTGCAAGGTAATGATTTTATAATTGCTGAGTTGTGAGGGATCAATGCTGGTTTTTTTAATGGTTTAGGATAACTATGTAACCAGTCATCTAGTAAATTTATTGTTTTGATACTATCATTAAAGTCCTCCACAACTCATAGTATTTCATCTCTACTTAACTGTTTAATATGGCTATAGCATACACTGTCTGGCCCCAGAGCAATACTTCTGCTGCCTCGCAATGCTACCTGTATGTTGATTTCAGCCACCAAGTCTTTATATACGTTGTCTATGACAATGCTATGCCAGAGATTCTCTGTCCTATCATCTTTATCTGTTTGGACTAAATACCATTTAAAAAAAAAACTCTTGCCCCTTTTCCTTGTCACTTGTTAATGTCAACCTCCTGAAACCTGAGTGTTTGGCATTTAATGAATGGTTCTTTTCCATTTATTTGCCGGTGCAAATTCTAGAATTTATGTAGCGTTTTCACAATTTGCAGGTTGTAGCCAATGTTTTTGCTTCACAGGCATTTTCCACCTGTTCATTCCAAAATGGTGGTTGCATAAATGTTGTTTTTCGCATCTTTTGTCTGGCCGTTTAGAACATTGAATGCAATGTACCAACCTGATCTTTTTTGGCAATATGTGTGTTTTGGAAAAAATACACTATCAGCACAAATGGATGTGAACATTAATTAACAATTACAGAAATATTACTTTAGGACTTTAAAAAAAAACGCTGGGAGAAAAAAAACTGGGAGAAAAAAACTTTGAGAAAAGAAATCAGAAGGGGACTGATCACAGTAACTTTGGAGTTATAGCAGTATTCACACTCTCACCCCAAGAGAGCCATTTTTCTTACTTGTATGGGTTTTGATTGACTTAATGTCTGTAGAGAAACATCATGGGTTTTGGTTGACTTAATGTCTGTAGAGAAACATCATGGGTTTTGGTTGACATGACGTCTTTAGAAGTACCCAATGACATAGTGTAGACATGGTGGGTTTGATTCTATTTACTCCAAAAATACTTATTAAAGACATTTTTAGGGTTAAAAAAAAGTCTTTTAAAAATTGTGGATTTACTGTGACATCATATAATTTCATTGTATGTCACACTGCTCTCTGTGAAAAAGTGACCAAAAGTGAGAACATGCATTTTTCCTGTAGTAATACACAAACGAATCAATGCCCCACTTCTTAAGCAACAAAGAACAAATTCAAAGCACTTTAACTTGAGTGTGACAGAAAAATACTTTAAATAAGGTTAGTAATGAAGAACAAAAATAGTGGCAATTTACAATCAAAGAAAACTGGTACAGAAACAGCACCAAGTCTCTAATGTTAAGATTGTTTATAATTACGATCTATCTAGTTATTTCATGTTTTGCTATAACATATGTTGTTGTTGTTATCGATCCAGCGGCGCATGAGCTTTCGCCCTTTGGCCCAATGCCATGTAGTGGAATTTGCATGTTTTCACAAGCTGTTCTTTTCCTCCGTACAAGGTGTTCCACTTGTCTGGTCTCGGAGGGAGTAGCGTTCTTCTTGTCTCACTGAGTTTTGGGCACTCAAAGAGATGGTGTTCAACAGTTTCGTAGGGGTAGTTACATAGCTGGCACTCTGGGGAGTGTTGTGGCTGTATTCTGTTTAGGTGTCCATTGAGTGGAGTATGTTGCGTTCTAAGTCTGAAGATGGTGGCCTGGTCCCTTCTTGTTAGATGGTTAATGCTGTCATTAGGATCAGGGCCAGACATATGTCTATAAACCTCTCTTCCAGTGTCTCCCATGGCCCATCTGTTCAACCAAGTCTCTTTGTTTATAGCTCTTATCAGTGTTTTTGCTGTCTGGAGGGTTGTCGCTGTAGGTGGTTGTTCTTGTGTTGCTCCTTTGCTATAACATATTTACTGTGGTATTCTGTTTATATTTTTGTTACAGAGTTTAATTTATCAAAATAGTAAAATGTACATACTTTCTGTAGGTACAGGAACAGTCATTTTAAGCTCTTCTTCATTCTTGACAACACAGGAAATACTTTCTGCATCCAAGTTACCACAAACTTCAAGAATACAATTTACTGCCTCGTCTTCTTGGACAGCCTTCTCAACACTGATGGATGCTGTTAGCCCTACTATCTGTAAGAGGATGAAAACATTGTGTATGTATAGCACACTGTGCTAAATTATAACCTGGATATATTCAGTGAAGCTCGGACCTAGGTCTATGTGGCAAGGTGGTAAAGTTCTTTGCCTTGTGCTTTGAACGTAGAAGGTTCATTTCACAGACACGTTGTTCAGTTTAATTTTATGGAGATAACTGAGGATCGTCACCAGCGCTAGCTGTTCTATGGAGAAAGACTGAGCTCTATTTAATAAAATCCAGTGCCATTACAGTTTTTAGTGTACAAAGTTGCCTGTCACAACATATGTCTATGTTAACAAATTATCAAGAGCTACAATATCATTAAAGCCACTGTCAGGATTCATTCTAATCGTCTTCCTTCACTCATAATGAAAATAAATGAGCCACAATAATTAACAACAACATCCTGACAGTACCAACTTGTGCTGAAACACATACCCAAAAGCAAGCATACACACGATGCATACACACATACATACAAACACATAGCCAGAAGCAAGCATGCACACGATGCACACACATACTTACATACACATATACATATAAAGTCTAATTAAGTGTTAGGCCTTCACATATTCAAATCAGTAACATATAAGATGAGGTTTCATCTTCTGTTCATTGCATTTCCTTTTCAGACAATTCCCAGAACATTCTGGAAATTGTCTATTACTTCTTTTAATAAGAATGAGCAAACCCAAAAGTCATAAAAAGGAAATTAACCAACCTTTTTTACTGAGCATAACTGAATATTCTCAGGTTATTATTTAGCACAGGATGTACAGACTGCTTGTCCTAATATTAGGTTTAGTTTCATAATGTTTACATTATAGAATTTAGGTAATTCGCAATAAACAGACTCAACCCAATAATGCTCTAGGGGAAACCTTTAATGAGATAAGTCAGTTATTTAACCCTATCAGAGCCCTGGCCCGATTTTTCGGGAATTTTCTAACCTGACGATATACCGCTGGCCCCATTTTTCGGGAATTTGCGTAGTATGTGAAAAATATGCGTCACAGACTAAAAATAACCAGCCAATCACCATCAGACTTCGAGGTTAGTCATTGTGAATGACTTCCCACGTGTGTTGAGATTTCTTTGTGTGGTCTGATGTGAACAAAATTTGCACAATTCTCAATGAAACAAGCGGCTTTGTCAAGAAAGTGATGTAAGTCTATGATTTTTACAGTCCAACAGGTGATCGATACTTTGGTTAATTCAGACTGTGAATACATTGATGAAGAATACGTTCCCAGTTGAAGTGACACAGTCAGTCAGAGCTAGAGTGAGGAGGAGAATTATGAAAATTATAGATTTAAAACTAGATCGATAGTAAGAGAAGGGGGCGTGTCCCTCAAACAGCAACATCTGGTGCTCACTTTGTGAAACAAGACTGATCCTACTATGTGGATTGGCACACAAAGGTTGAAGATTGGCGCTAGATGAAAGGTAAACCTATTTTCTACAATGTCTCCAAGTTTTATCTTATTCTAACCACTTATTTGCATGAAACTAATTTTTTTGTACATCATGTTGGTTTTTTTTGTGTTAGTTCCCAGGAGCTCAGGTTATAGGGACAGTTAGGTTCAGGGCCTCAGGTCTGGTAGGGTTAGTGCCCAGGAGCTCAGGTTATAGGGACAGTTAGGTTCAGGGCCTCAGGTCTGGTAGGGTTAAGACATGGTGACCGCTCCTATTTTTTAAGGTTTGCCAAAAACCCCCATACTTTGCAATAGTCATACTTAAGAAATTATAATTTATAACTTTTAGAATCACATTATGGGAAGCTTTTTAAATCAGAGGTGGGTTTTTTTTTTGTTTGGGGGGGGGGGGGGGTAGGGGGGGGGGGAATATAAAAAATACCTTTAATTTGTTCCATGAACCCCTTGGGAGTCTGAAGATAGCAAATGTGACAGATGGAGATAAGCAATAACTTATAAGTGAGAATTTTAAACAAAAAGAAATGCATAGCTACTGAAAGAAACATAAATTTGGCATAATTCTGACATTTAAGATACTTGTAATTTAAAGAACAAAACTGTTCAAACTGCACGTAAAAATACCTTAGGAAGAGTTCAATCAATCAGTTATCTGTTCTTCTGTATCAAATTTGTTGGTAGTTTTTAGGTGTACAGGCTTTCCCATCAACTACTAAAAATAGGCCATTGGATAACTGCATTTCTTTTCTCTAACAGGAAATCACCACTGAAATCTATGTTTCTTTTTTTTTTTTTTTGTTAACAGCATATTTTCACTTTTCCTTTCTGTTTTCATAAGTTTTTAACAAAACTACTTCTTCTTTTCTCACTCCCGGAATGCCTTGCGGTGTCAGGGCAGGAAGAGATCTTTGGAACAGGCCCTTCTTTTTGCTTCGTATAAATTAATTTTCAGTGTCTCTGATATCTCTACAGTTAATCCTCTACATGGTCAACCTCTGGGTCTGTTAAGATTGTATCTGTATATCACTGTAGCACTGGTCTCTGTGGTGCTCTGGCTTGTTACATGGCCAAACCATTTGATTTATTGTCCACCTTTAAAGTTCAGTATTGTTTCTTAGAACTTAATTATATGAATTTTAGAAACTCGTGACTCAAGACACCTACCTGCGGCAACTTGATGTCTGTTACTTCACCATTTTCTTTTGCTTCACTGATCAGCTTTTTTGTCTTGAGATAGGAGTACATAAGAGTATTGTAAGGTTCTCCTTTACGAGTGTGGTGGCACTCATCAAATACCAGCATAGAAAAAATGCCCAGGTGAGGCAGGCAGTTCTTTTTTAGATGATTCTCCAGGATGCGAGGTGTCATCACAATCACATCAATGTCTTTAAGCAGAAAGTGAAGATGCATGCTGTCTTCACTATCCCCGGTCAAATGCGTCACCTTGGAAGAAAGAAAAACATATTAATTTCCTTTTCATATGTCTAATAATAAAAGCTCTGAATATTGAAGAAAACAGTCCTGTTATCATCATCCTGTCCCAGAAACTGAACTACTTTGGGCAAAACAGAGATCCCAAAGGCTTAGAAAGAACAGTTAGGCAGGGCCCAATACCACGAAAGTAGGCACAGGACATAAGGGACACCCTGGGCAGGTATGTGCATGAGGCGGGGGTTTGACTCCAATAGCCTTTGTCTAAAGAGACTTACCATGCAAGGCAACGGGAAAGGGGGGGGGGGCGGAATTATTGCGCCTCTTATCTACCGTTGGCCATATCGTGGAGTTTTTAGGTATTTTATAGAGTTAGCTCTCCCACCAACTAACTCGCCTCCTCTCAGTTACCACCACCTGTTTTGGTCCAGGGCCACTTATTCAATATATTTGTGGCTAACCTCCAAGGAAAATATTGTGACCACTGGAAAGATCTGTGGAAGGAGGGATAGAGAAAGACAAAGAGAGAAGATTCTTGACAGTCATGTTGCATGGCACGAACTGATACATGCTGCAGGAGATCGCAGGTTATGGAGAAGCATGATCGCCCAAGCCAGTCAGCAAGGCACCCGATTATGAATTGGCATTGAAATAACACAGAAAATCAAAATTCACATACTGTAGTCTGAAAGGAAGAAGCGATACAGACATTTTTAAAGAAAATAAAAACCAGTTAACAAATATGTGTAGTGTGTGTGCGTGCGTGCATGTGTGTGTTAGGGCGCACATGAAAGTGAATAACTGGGTGAATTCTGTTTAGTTAGTCAGTCAGACATCCTCAGAATGTTTAGTGGCCTGCTGAAAGCATCACACAAAGCATAACCACCTTAGCTCCAACAATGATCCCCAGGGATCTCCATAAAATAGCAGCCATGAACTGAACCATGCTTCTGTAAAATAAACCCCTGACCTTCAGAGCGTGATGCCAACCCTTGACCACTTCACAACCTCTACACTACTTCCCTTCTGAATAAGCCCATACTGTCATGACCGCCCTACGTCCTAGGACTACTTCCAAGGCAAAAGCACCGGACTCTTCCTTCACAAATCTCCCTCCAACATGTGCTATACAAGCCCAAGAGCTTATGAGGTATACCTGAGAGCAGCAAGGATCAATAATAGGATGGAACAGCCTCTTTAAGTTTCAAACAACGGATCAACATCCTGGCACTAGGGACTCAGAACTTTACAACAGGATATACAGACAAAATACATTATAGAGACTCAACCAGACAGAAAGTAATACATGCATACCTATCACAAAGATGACAAGGATATCAGGATTGCAGTAGGACTCAGATAAGTAGCAGTGGACAATTTATCAGGTTAGGGACTCAAAGCCATCACCCTGGCACACATACCACAGTCTTGGCCAATACACTTGGCACAAATAAACCAGACCATAATTATAACTGGGTGCTGCTGGCAGCGAAGCTGCCATTAGAAGGTTGAAGACGATCAAGTGTTTTTTCCCCCTTAAATGGACATGACAGACCCACTTTCCTATTCATATTCAGCCAATCAGTTGAGACCTAGAAGGGTTACAATTTCTCAATATACGTTTATTCACTTTAAAATCTACTCTTAAAACTGATTATTATTTTGAAAGTAAAACATTGCAAAACACGCCTTTGGCATTTTTCTTAAGTCGAGAAAATGGTCAATTTTCATTTTATCAGAAAAGAAACAACATAGGCCTTTTTACCTCAAATTTCTTAGGAAGATATTTTTTCAGACCTTTGTACTGCTGCATTACAAGTGGTACGGTTCTAGCAAGAAATGCAATCTTCCTCTCCTCATTTTCTGCTGTGAAAAAAAGTAATTAAACATAAGCAGCTGAATTTTTAGATTATACAATACGAGATAAACAGATATCCAACTTCTCTCTGCACATACATCGTATGTTTAGACAACATGTTGTATACATAAATGAACACTGTTAAATGAAATTACCAAATGGCAAACAGACTGAACTTCTCAGAGCCGGTCAGCTATATAAATGTATAAATAAACATGTAAAACAATGTTAGCTGGGTAAATATAAACATATAATTTAATTAACTTTTCTTGTTTCTTGAATGTAGCAAAAAGAAAAAGCGACAGAAACAAAAATTATGATAAACTATCATCTTTTCTCAAAAGTTATTCTTCGGTATTCTAAACCGTTGAGATTCACTTCTGTAGACATCAACCGGCTCCCTTCATCTCTATGACTGGTAATCTGGTAATCCTAGTTTCAGCTTCATAGCAAACGGGTCACCCCACAGTTGCTCCGCTCCTGTGCCAACGAAAAACAAACGCAGCTCACAGTGTCATGCCATGCACTCAACTCAGAAGCTGGGCAACGAAACTACATCCTTCCAGTCTACAAATGGAGCAAAAATGCAACGGCCACCATCTGGCAGAGATAAAATAAAAAACATTTGCCACAGCTTTAAAAAAAAAAAAGGTGGCAGTGCCTGGCGTCCATTTTGACCGGAAGCATTGTATGAGGGTTTAAATAAACATTTAAAGAGTTGATTGGTATTGAAAGAGTTAGTTAGGTGCTTCTTACCTCTTTTTTGCAAGTGGTTGAGAATGATGTAAGTAGCCACTCTGGTTTTGCCAGAGCCAGTGGGGGCACAAATTATTGTATTCCTCCCCTTCACAGCATTTTCTGCTAGCTCTTTCTGATACTCTCGCAGCTTCAAATCTGGTATTTCTAAATTCAAATCAAATTTGTACATATAAAAGAAAATATAATTGTCAATCACAGTTTTAAACAATAACTATATTTTCTGGTTTTCTAAATAGCTATTTTCATGTTTTAAGGTGTACTGAGTATACAGTGTTTATCTAATACTTTTATACATAAATCAGCATTTGATGGGTGATGTGGATGCCAATTAACTTCATTTGCCAGGACATTTCCAGGTACCTAGTTTAGATTGGGTCAACTTGAAAGGTCAAGTTCATGAGTAGAATCCTGCCTCAAAGGGTAGCCAAACATACTGCCACCAGCTCGGCAGGCATGCATGCTAGCCACAAAACTACCACATCTGACCAGAGATTTTAATGTCTAAAGGGGCTGCTACATAATCAAAGGCTGATATAAGTTATAGGATATTACATACTGTTCATGCTACTGTGTGCCTTGTGAATCATGGACAATGAATAAAGGAAGCAGAACTATACTGGAAGCAATAGAAATATTATTTTTTTTTAGACTGCTATTAGCCTCATTGATCACTTCTTTTACTTTTCAGCATCAGGTTTTAAAGAGGCATCTGGTATGGGTATTAGTGTGTGCTAAACAGATGCTGGTATTCATGGCCCCATATATTCCATTCATTTCTTATATAGTCAGTTGACAGTCTGTGATCGTTTACCATAAGAAGCAGACTGATTTCTCTGGTTGATTATTTATTGAAGCAAGAAAACTACGAAAACAAATATCAGAGTGCCTCAAAAGGTCAGTTTCCTAAGAAATGTGACTGCCAACTCTAGGACAAGGCATCAGTCAGTATTTCATCACATTTTGAGATAAGACAATCTGAAGAAGGTTACGACAACTGGGAAAAATAACAGGTGTTAGAAACAAGGTTGACAGAGGGGGAAATACTGGCTATATTGGCAATGCGGAAAGAATGCCATCAGTGATAACATTTATTAGGAACACAGAAGAAACATAATAAAGGAACAGGATCACCTGCGTTGCTTGCAATACGTATTTTTAACGCATTACCTTACTGGAGATCAGGCAGCATACAAAATAAAAAAAGCAGGAAGAAGAAAAGATAATGACAATGATGATAACTTCACATCTAAAATACATGCAATAATATTCATCAGCTGAGTGATAACAATGCATGCAAATCATACCTTCAGAATCTGCCGTATCTGAAGGGATTTCTTCATCAATCTCCTCATCAGAGTATCCGGACACAGAAAAGGAATATCTACTTTGTTTCTCAAAATGGGGATCAGATGTGATTCTTGTAACATCTAAATTATTTGTCTGCATCAGTATCTTCATTTCTGTTGTATTTAGCTGTTCTTTTGACACATAGATTAGTCTATCCCCGCTTGCTAACAGAAAAAATAATAAATGTTTTGTGAGCTTAAATAAAACTTTATATATGACAATATTAATTGTTAATTAAATAACTGACACTAGAATCAGAAATCTAGAGTAGCTTTTTTTCTTTTTAACAAGGGCAACTTAAAAAGAAACCGAACTATTCCATAAACATCACAAATAATGTGCTACGTACAAATTTAAATTTTTTAAATAACAGTGGTATCATCCTCATCAGGTGCCTTGCCGACTCGTGTGGCGATCATGCCTCTCCACAATCTGAGATCTCCTGCAGCATGTATTAGTTTGTGTGTTGACACACCTCCATGCCATGCAACAAGACTGTCAAGAATCTTCTCTCGTTGTCTTCCTCTATCCTTCCTTCTACAGATCTTTCCAGTTGTCACAACATGTTCCATTTTCCTTCTTCTCATAACATGGCCAAAAAATGATGACTGTCTCCTTCTGATATCTGTGATAAGTTGTTTTCAGGCTCCCGCCTCTTTCAAAACCTCTTGGTTGCTCTTTTGGCTGTCCTAGGTATTTTAGGCATTTTTCTGTAAAACCACATCTCTGAGTCCTGAAGAAATTGTTTGGCCTGCCTACCGATTGTCCAGGACTCACAGCCATATGTTCAAACTGGATGTATGTATACAGTGGTACACATTTGTTAACAGAAAAATAAAACATTGCTTTTCAGGCAGTAGACAGTGATATGATGTAGGGTTGTCTAAAAAGACATGGAATTAGCAAACATTTTATTAAAGTTTGTAAGAGTTTATATACATAAAGTAAAAGTTGCGTATGAACAAAATCGGGTACATCTAAACTCTGTGAAGTAAATGCAAGAGTATGAACAAGACCTGTGCTTTCTCCCCTACTTTTCATAACATATTCTGACAGTATATGCAGAGAAAGTGAGAGCAAAGAAGATGATAATGTTTTTTAATTGTTATTTGCAGATGACCAGTCAAGTATTAATAGCAGAAATTATGAATGTCTCCAGAATCAATCAAGTCAACACCAGATATGGGAGCATATTATGAAAATAAATTTGGAAAAGACAAAGACAATGATGTTAGGCAGACAGCCAGAAACCCTACATACCTGCTCCCCAACACTTCCATCAACTAACTGGAGGCCACCTCCCCCCTTCCCACTGCCCCAACACTTTGATGAACTAACTGGAGGCTGTTATTTCGAATCTTTTCAAGACTCAGCTACTTTGTATCAAATAGTTATGAAATTACGATTACACTTAAGTTCTGTTTCATACAGAGGAAAAGCATGTCTTATTCTGTTTTTTCCCTCTTGTTGTTCCTTCTTACTGCTCCTCCTCCTGAATTATCTCCTTTGTCTGCATCCTTTTATTAGTTTTCCTAATTCTCAATGTTTTGTTTTTTCAACCTTTTTTCTTTGTCCTGTGTATTCCTTTTGTCTTTCACACTCCTGCTTCATATCCTTCGTCCTCCTTTTAGCATTCTCCTAATTATCTTAATTTTTTCCTTATCTTTCTTCTCATATTATTTTCTCCTTCTCCTCTATTTTCCATGTTCTCAGTAAGTTTGACTGTTGATCATCGTCTATGTTATTCTGTCAACTCAGCCAAAATTCTATCCCTCAATTGATTTTTCTATCTCTCTCTCTCTCTCTCTCTCTCTAACACCCTCAATCACCTCTAGCTATATGCTTGGTCTGATGCAGCGTTATAATTTGTTGATACCTTCTGGGCTTCCACGACACATTAGCAACAACAACAAAAATATGTTAATGCTTTATAAAAATTCTTATCAACTTACCGGACACAGTTGAAAATGTTGAATAATCATCAGGTACATCTGCTAATTCTGCAAGCCCAGTGGATAAATCAAATTCAGAAATCGCCTCCATGTTTTCACTCTTCTTGTCTGCATCCTGCTGCAAGGCATTGGCTTTTTCTGAATCTTAAAAATAAACAGAACATTTATAATTTAAATGCATTCTATTTCACAAGTAACTATATACTGTATCTGATAATTTAAAAAGGTGTATTCATGCATAAATCTGCGAATGTTTCAATCTCTTTGTATGTGTGTGATTGTGTGTGTTTATGTGTTGTATGTTATGCCGTTGTTATTGTTGCTCTCTCTCTCTCTCTCTCTCACACTCTCTCTCTCACACTCTCTCTCTCTCGCACGCATGCACACACGCCCATGCACACACACAAAAGTACAACAAAATTTCTATTAGAGTAGCATTGCAAAAACTATGCTTTAAAATCTGCAGCTACTGCGTATGACCAGAAAAAAAGCCCTGAGTTTTTCTGGAAGCCAGTTTTTTCCCTTTGCTGAATTTGCATTGGTCAAATATAAAAGAGTAAAAGGACTTGTTATATATAGTTAAGACTAAAGAAAAAGACCAAAAATACATTATACACTGCTAGATGACGGGAGTTAAATTTGCTCAGCATGGCCGGAAAACATTTCTGGGTTGGGGAGGGGAGAAACAAAACTATTACTGAGCAACTCTAGATTGTTCACAACATTCACTAGCTATGCAACCCTGAATGCTCAAGTTAAAGATTGTGCTGTTCTACAAAACCAGCCCACCTCAGTCCCACACTACTCTAAAAGAAAGTAGTAAATGCCAGAGGTAAAGACCATTTTAAAACATTTGATAAAGGAAAGAAATGTAAAATGTTACAGAATGCATTATAGACATAAATACTTCTTGATATGTTTTAATATTGAGAATAGCTTACTTTCATTCAGCTCCCCTCTATGAAATTCCTGGGGTTGCATCAAGTCTGGATTCTGACTCCTCAAACCAGGAAAAACCACAAGTGGCCAATCAGCTTTTCCTCTCTTTATGCTTTTTAACATCTTTAAGCTGCATTCAACTGGGTTCTCAATTAGAATTAGTTGTTGGTATGCTTTCTGTTTGAAAAAATAAATAATTACATAACAAATTAAACAAATGTATAATACACATATAAACAGATACACTGTTTCTTGTCAGCACAACAAAGGTTGGTGGGTGGGGGGGGGGGGGTGGTTAACTTTTAAACACAGGTAGGGATTAACTTTCAGTTTCAGATAAGCCAATAAATATTTACTGATTACTCTGTATGTGGTATATGTTTCCTTAACATCTGTACCAATTTTGTTGTTGTATTAATCCAGACCATTCCTATTGTTTCTTTATCTCTTTCTATCCCAAACATCGCATAATGTGTGCTCAGCTTATGTCTGTGTGTATCAACGCAATACAAGGTGTGTTTTTATTTATTTCATATTTGGTCTGGGTATGCAAAAGAAATCTGGCCAAATATTTTGAATGTAGTAAAAGCTGTATCTTTGAAAGCCTTTGATGCCCTTTCCTTTTCACTGAGATTTTTTGTTCCAAATTGGGTTTCTACTTTGAAAACACGTGGGCATGAAAAAGTTAAGTAATTTCCTGGAAAGTGAAGGTGACTGGCATAATAGTAACATCCCCAGTTAGGTGTTGATTGGTCTAAACATATTTGTCATATACCTCAAAACAAGAAAAGGAGTGTTTAAGTAAGTTTTCCTTTAACTTTTTAACTAAAATAACACAGATTCCATTTAGGTTTCCACATTATTATATTGACTGCTTACACATGTCCTAGTACTAACCTTTTTACACTTGGATGTCAAGGATATTATTGGAAGAGAGAGAGGATTAACTCTTTGAGTCCCAAGGAACGCATCATACGTTCATAGATTCCTACCTAGAGGCCCAATGAATGCATGATGTGCTGATTTTACGTCTCTCTTGACTACCCCTTGGGCCTGTGATGCTAAACCCTCTGGGGCTCAAAGAGTTAAGATAAATACTTCCAATCCAAAATATACAGCTGACATTGTGAATAATTCTACATGACAGTTAGGGACAAATGCAAAAATATTATCATTTTCTAACATGCAATGAAAAGATACGGTATATATTAGCAACTATACAGGTTGAATCATTACACAAATGTCCTTCAATTATCATCTGTCTTATAACATTTGTCTGTGTGAAAGTGGTCCATAATAACACTGCCCTCTTAGTAACAAGGAATTCTTTGCTTCCAGAGCAACATATACATAACAGTTTAAAAATCATCAGTCACACTGAAGAAAGGCATCCATTCTAACAAAAGCCATCAATATCAAAAGACTAAACTCTTTTCACTGAAAGAATTATTGTGCTTCATTATAAGTTGAGGTGACTTTGCAGTAACACTCCTGATGAGATGCAGCCAAATATGCCATGCAATCAACTGTGCAATGATTGTGTGTGTCCGCATATTTAAATTCACTACAGGGAAAATACTGTTTTAAACAGTAAAAGATTAGGTAACAATCATCCCTGAACAGAAATGTCAAAAACAAAGTACAGACCTACCTGTGTGATTATTCCCTTATCCAGCATTACAGTTAGGGTGGGTCTTAATTCTTTCAGTGATAATTTCTGTGTCAGACTTCCATCCAACAAGCTGACAATGTCTTTCATACACTGACTTAACTGCAACTTCTCATCATCTGTTCCACCAATAACAGCTGGATGCAAAATATCTGCAAGTAGTTTAGATCTGAGTTAAGTTGCGTTGAGAACTGACATCACAGTACAGGGGACGTGTAACAGTGAATTATATGGTCATCTTGCCTTTCCTTTGCGTGTTGAGTGCCGGCCATACCCCCTGGTCACTTCCCGCTGCATCATTCTCTCCTGACCATAATGACATTTTTGTGCTTTTGCACTGTATTATTTTGTGGCTTCATGGCTTAGAGGTTGGTGAATGTGATTAACAATTTCATGACCCTTGAAAACTAGAGTTCAATCCCCACAGTGGATGATAAACAAAAACCATTCTTATCATTTTCAGAAAATTATACAATAGTTGCACCATGGAACATATTGGGGCCTCACCAAGTAATTTTTCCAAAGATATGTTTGTGTTTATACATCATGGCTTAACCCATAAGTGCTCTGTTCTTCTTCTAACTCAAGCTGAGTCTGAAGAATCTCAGCGCAGTGCATAAACTTTGTTGCACTGGAGAGGATTCTGAAATACTTTGGAAATTACTAGACGACCACATAAACAAATCTCAGCCTTCCCTCTAGCACTCAAGGCGGAATCCATGCCTCGAGACCATGCAGCTCATCTATTCCCAAAGATAGCATTGCTACACTGTAGCCAACCTTCATTGTGGAGACGTACATTTTTTTTTTTTAATTGTATTATTTAGACAGAAGTGTTTATACCAAATTAATAAACAAAATTTCATCAACATCTGGTTCCATCTCCTAAGTGAAATTTGGCTATAATGTGTCTCTAACACCTTCTATCCCATGTCTTCTTTGTGGATTCATGCAGACTTCATTCAGATCCTCTCATGATATTGTCGACCCATATGTAGAATTGTCTTCATCCAGCATTACTGCCTTTAGTTTGTTCTCCCGCACATCTTCGTACTCTTTCAGTCTCCAACCATTTGCAGACGATGACAAAGGGGGTAATATGCTGCCATGAAAAGTCATTAACTGCATAGCTGGATCAAAATAAAAGTAATATAACAAACAATCTAAGTGATTATCAAAGAAACCAAATTTTATTACTGTGCACTGACCAAATTTGAAAGCTGACAGAATAGATTATGCCATATCTAGGATGTAAGAGGCAGAGTCCAATAACAACATATTTTGTTTGGGAGTGACAGAGTTAAAATGAACTGTGAACCGGAAGTACCTTAACTATTTAACCTAGATCTCATGTGATAAAAATGTCTTCAGTCCAGTAACCATAAGCTGCAGCGCACACACAAGTAAACCTAGCTTACAAGTCACCTCAAGATTTTTAGATAAAAAATTTGAGTTAGGCATATATTTATTTTACAATTCATAACTGCGATAGCAGTCAACCTTTAGATTTGAAAATATTGTAAAGATTCGACAACTGGACTTGAATGCTACAGTTTTGAGTAGGTTTTTAAAAAAAAAATCATCAGCATGTGCTATGCCAGTAGGCACATGCTGTCATGTTTTGCCATTTCACACAATAAATTAATCACAGATCAGGTCAATATTCTGGTCTCACCCTCATTCATCTGGCCAGGCCATCCAAATATTTATCTCATTGCCTTCCACTTGCTTTCCTTTCATCAATCTTGTCAGTTGTTACCAAGTTCTCAAGTTCTTTCCTTCTCATAACATGTCCAAAAAACATTGACTGTCCACGTCTAACCGTTATAACAAGTTTAGAACTTTCATCTGTCTTAACAGGAACTGCTTCATTTGTTTTTCTATCATTCCACGATATTGTTTGCATTCTTCTTAAAACCCCTATCTCTGCCACAAGTGAATGTTTTTCAGCCTGTGCGCTTATTGTCCATGCATATAACAACAAAGGTTCAGTATAGCACTTTTAACACCCTTTTTCTCACAGCAAATTACATCTTATTGGTATCTTTTGCTTCTTGCTAAAGGCCACTTTTGTCATGGGGATTCTTGCTTCAATTTCTGCAAAGTATCTTGTAACAGATGTTATGAATGTTCTAAGATATTTTGGTCTATTAACCTGCTTTAGAATTTCACCATTTGTGTATATTTAACACTTCAGTATTTCTTTCATTCTGGTGATGAGATAATTTCCATTTTCTTACAGTTTAAGCTTGGTTTCTCACTGTGAACTATTGCTGCATAGTTTTTGTGTGTGTTTGCATGTGCAATACTTTTTATTTTCTTATCCTACTATGATATTCTTCATTTCTGTCTATACAGCCACATTTATAAAACTTTAATTTTAGCTTCAACGTGTATATTTATTGTAAAAGTTTCTGCACATACAATGATGGAGGGTCATTATAACCTCAAAATATCTGCTATCAATGAAACATCTGACAGTCACTTAGCAACAGTATAAAAAAAATGCAATAATGACAGTCTCTTTAAAAACACCTATAAAAAATAGTGAAATCTCCACAATAAAGTTTAGCTGCAGTGTGTCCACAATTGTATTTTAGATATTACGAGGTGAGGCTCCAAACTCTTCTCTGGTGTGACTTTTATACCACTGCTCAAGCATCATGCTAACCATCAATGAAAGTGAAGCCTGATAGGCCAAGGGCTGTGAAATACATTCAATAACATCTGAGCCAAAGAGTTGCACAAACAGTGTTTAAATCATCTATGTAATTTAAAAAAATTATTATTTTGTAAACTATTTAGCCTCTCTGTTTGTAACAGTAAATACAGTTATAATTGCATTACAAATGAAATGTGTTACCAGATTCAGGAGTGAATTCTTTTAATGCTGCAATAAAATGACTGGCTGCAGTTTTGTCAGTATCATCATCATCAAGGATCCACCCAAGTAAGTTCTGAACAGTAGATTCTCGAGATGACTGACTTTGAAGGAAATCATCTTTACGGCTGCCTGTAATTAAATTGTCATTGGTAAGAATGATGTACTTAATCTACTTCAATAACATATGGTAAAAGTATGTTACGTAAAGGGCCCTGTGTACATTATTGGTACTAGACCCATGTTTTTATAGACCACATAACACTCAATGGGTGATATGGTCAACATCAAACTACCTTTACATCCCAGCACCCATTCCTGTAACCATTTTAGGCTAGGTTGAACTGGCAGCCAAAGACAATTATTAAAAATTGGACTTGAACCCAAGACTCTGGGACTCAGGTGAGTTTCCAGCCATTGCACTACCTCGGCTCCCAAAAGCATGATACACAAATTTAAATATGCATCTATTTCAGATGTGTACTGAAACATAAATCATGATAAAGTCTTAAAAGTCTGAGAATTTTGCTAAAACACATAACTATTTTGACTTGTGCTAAACCATACACTTATATCAGGGCTATCCTTAAAATATATACCTCAACATCATCATCATATAGTATGTCTTTTGTAGAATCTGATTCCCATCACAGATGGACAGAAAGCCACTAGGTCCTTTGCCATTTTCCCTGTTTCATGCATGCCTCAAGTGACAACCACTATCCTGTGTTCATTTTTATGCCAGCTGACCCCTGCCCTTTCTTCTAGTAACTATGAATTCAATTTTTTTTTTCTAACCATTGTTGAGTTTTCACCTTCTGAGACATGACGTTGTGAAACGATCCAAGAGTTACATCCATATGTTACCAATGCATGTCTCAAAACTTTTAACTTTATTTTGATTGCTGATGTTGTGAAATAGGCTTTTAATGCAAATGTGAATCTTTTAAACCAATGTATTGCTTGAACTAAATATATCTAACTTTGTATAAAAATTTAATTAACCCTATAATATTAAATCTGTCTTACCTATATCGTTATCATTGCATATAAGAATCTTTTTTTTTTTCTTGATCTCCTGTTATTCAGCGTTCATGATCCACAGATATATAGAAGTATGAACACTTTATAATATCCAAAAAACGGGGGTGAACTGTTCAATACATTTAAATTTTAATCACGTTGACAATAGGCAAAGCAGATTAACATATTACTGCCAATACCTACACCCTGAAGACCTATAGATATATCAACAAGTTTAAACTGACTATTGTTTTCTCTAAATATATTCAGGCTGACGTTTGAAGACATTTACAAGCTGGTTTTTTTTTTTTTAACAGTACAGGGTCCTTTTCATGTCATTGGTGCATGTCATTTATAAAAATCCAATCAGATCTAGATTTGAACCCAAACATTCAGGCTGTCAGGCAAATCCAGCCATTACATTACTGTGGTTCTCCTAAAATTGCATAAAGAAGTTTCAATTCTTTATGGTAAACACAGTTTAGTTATATTTTATACTTACCAAGCCATTCATTTCTGCTGATAATCACATCCGGGTTCAAGTACTTGACAAATGTGTCAAATAATGATTCAATAACAATTTTCACTTCATCAGGGTCATTTGGTTCCTCCATGTCAGTAAGTAGAATCTCACACTCTATATTAAAGCTGTGGTGTTAGGCCGCTCTATCTAGGCTTCACCTTATAATAAATAATTACAAAATGCATAAGTATGAGAATGCATCATGAAAACTACGTATCATCATCAAGTGCCTTGCCAGCTGGCGTAGACGTTCATGCATCTCCACAGATGTTGGTCCCTTGTGTTCTGGAACAATTCCACTGATGATATTCCTCCAAGCCACTGTCTTAAACCATCCACCATCATTTCTCTTGGTCTGCCTCTACTACCAGTCATCACAATATTTTCAAATGCTCCTTTTCTTATCACATGAAAAAGAACTTTGTTTGTCTCCTTCTCATTGTTGTATAGAATGTTTTACTTTCATTAGCCATTTCCAGGCAATCATTGTTAGTTATTCTGGCAGTCCAAGAACCACATCTCACAACTCTGTCTTAATTAAACCATGTATAACTGTCTTGTTTAGGACTGTAAAGGTCAGAGGGTCTTTAGCCTGGGGATTTAGGGTCTCATGTCTAGTACAGTCACAATGCACTCTGCAGGTCTGATTTTATTCTGGCTTTCGGCAGAAACATGCCATCACTTTAATAAGGATTGAAACCTGGATCTTCTAAATGAAAGCCCAG